TATGTCACGTGATTTGAAGCAAGCTTCGAAGCACTGCTTCTATGGAATAGGAAGTCCAGGGTTGAAGCTCCGTTCGAAGCTTCAGTGTCAAACTGCCATCACTACCCAGCAGATCCGTTTGAGCAGGAACTAGTGGATTATACCTTTTCTTTGTCTGAATGTGCTCTGGCAGATGCAGTCCACCTTACGCTGAGGAATCAAGATTTGGTTAAATTCTTACCGGCCTGGCTTTTGGATTACCTCACGGTTTGTTTTCCCGATCCTGATAGACCCAGGTCTCCAGATTCCCTTTTTGATACCACACGCATCGGTGTGGTCCGTCTGGCGTCAGCCCCTGCTTCTCACCCAGTGTTTGATACCGGACCTTACAGCCATGTTTCTGGCTTCAGAACCGGCCCATACAGCCATGTTTCCGGCTCCATAACCGGACCTTACAGCCATGTTTCCGGCTCCAGAGCCGGCCCATTCAGCCATGTTTCCGGCTCCAGAACCGGACCTTACAGCCATGTTTCCGGCTCCAGAACCGGACCTTACAGCCATGTTTCCGGCTCCAGAACCGGACCTTACAGCCATATTTCCGGCTTCAGAACCGGACCTTACAGCCATGATGCTGACTTTAATTTCGGTTCCAGAGCCGGCCCATTCAGCCATGTTTCCGGCTCCAGAACCGGACCTTACAGCCATGTGTCCGGCTCCAGAACCGGACCTTACAGCCATGATTCTGGCTTCAATTCCGGCCCCCGCAGCCATGGTTCCGGCTTCAATTCCGGCCCCCGCAGCCATGGTTCCAGACCCAGCTCTGGCCCCAGCTGCCACAGTCCCATCTCAAGTTTCCTCTCCAGTTCCCTCCCGAGTCCCCTCTCCAGTTCCCTCCTGAGTCCCCTCTCCAGTTTCCTCTCAAGTTCCTTCTCAAGTCACCTCTCAAGTCCCCTCTCGAGTCACCTCTCGAGTTCCATCTCTAGTCCCTTCTCAAGTCCCTCCTCTAGTCACTTCTCTAGTCCCCTCTCTGGTCCCTTCCAGAGTCCCTCCTCTAGTCAATTCCCTAGTCCCATCTCTAGTCCCTGCTCTAGTCCCCTCTCTAGTCCCCTCTCTAGTCCCCTCTCTAGTTCCCCTCTCGAGTCCCCTTCTCTAGTCCCCTCTCGAGTCCCCTCTCTAGTTCCCCTCTCGAGTCTCCTCTTGAGTCTCCTCTCGAGTCCCCTCTCGAGTTCCCCCTTGGTTCTCCTCTCGAGTCCCCTCTCGAGTCACATCTCAAGTCCTTACCCAATGTCCTGGTCCGTTGGAGGTTCCACTGGGGGTCCTGCCAACTCCATGTCCTGTCCCGTTGGAGGCCCCGTCAACTACTCCTCTGCCGGGGGTCCTACCAATCGTATGTCTGTCCCGTTGGAGGTCCCGCCGTCTACTCTCCTGCCGGGGGTCCTGCCAGCTCCTTGTCCTGTCTCGTTGGAGGTCCCGCCGACTACTCTCCTGCCGGGGGTCCTGCCAACCCTTTGTCCTGTCTCGTTGGAGATCCCGCCGTCTACGCTCCTGCCGGGGGTCCTGCCAACCCTTTGTTCTGTGCCGTTGGAGGCCCCGCCGACTACTCTCCTGCCAACCCTTTGTCCTGTCCCCTTGGAGGTCCCGCCGTCTACTCTCCTGCCGGGGGTCCTGCCAGCTCCTTGTCCTGTATCGTTGGAGGTTTCCGCCGACTACTCTCCTGCCGGGGGTTCTGCCAACCCTTTGTCCTGTGCCGTTGGAGGCCCCGCCGACTACTCTCCTGCCGGGGGTCCTGCCAACCCTTTGTCCTGTCTCGTTGGAGGTCCCGCCGACTACTCTCCTGCCGGGGGTCCTGCCAACCCTTTGTCCTGTCCCGTTGGAGGTCCTGCCGTCTACTCTCCTGCCGGGGGTCCTGCCAGCTCCTTGTCCTGTCTCGTTGGAGGTCCCGCCGACTACTCTCCTGCCGGGGGTCCTGCCAACCCTTTGTCCTGTGCCGTTGGAGGCTCCGCCGACTACTCTCCTGCCGGGTGTCCTGCCAACCCTTTGTCCTGTCTCGTTGGAGGTCCCGCCGTCTATTCTCCTGCCGGGGGTCCTGCCAATCCTATGTCCTGTGCCGTTGGAGGCCCCGCCGACTACTCTCCTGCCGGGGGTCCTGCCAACCCTATGTCCTATCCCGTTGGAGGTCCCGCCGACTGCTCTCCTGCCGGGGGTCCTGCCAATCCCGTGTCCTAGTCCTCTTCCGTGGGGGATCCTGCCGAGGCCTGTCCCACCAGCTCCGACACCGGGTCCTGCCCGGCCTCCGGCGCTGTCCCGTCAGCGCCTGCCTGCCCGGCCTCCGGAGCTGGCTGGTCTTCGCCCTCGATCCCGGCCCCCTGAGAGCCACGGCCTTCGCCCTCGAGCCCGGCCCCCTGACTTTCCCGGCCGCGGTCCTCGCCCTCATGCTCGGCCCCCTGAGTTCGCCCGTGGTGGCCTCCGCCCCTCCATAACCCCCACCTTGGACTCTGTCTTGCCCCCGGGCCGTCCGCCCGAGTCCCCCTTCTCGGCTTCTGCCTTGCCCCCGGGTCGTCCGCCCGAGATCCCTTCCGGGTCCTCCGCGGTGCTCTTGGGACGTTTATTGGACTGTTTTGGGTGTTTTAGGGACGTCTGGAATCCGTCCCTAGGGTTGGGGGTTCTGTTACGATTATTGTGTTATGTCACGTTTTCTATGTCTTGGTTTGGGTGTTTTGCTGTTCTCCCTGTCATGTTTTCCTCTGGGTATATTGTCTGGTCCTTTTCCCTGTGTTTTTCCTCCCGTCGTTAGTTTCCCTGGTGTGTCTAGTTGTCTGATTGTTTTCACCTGTGGCCCTTGTGTTTCTCCTCCCCTGCCCGGCTGTGTCTCGTCTTGTGATTACCCCTCCCTGTATTTAGTCTTGTCTCTTCCTGTGTTCAGTGTCGGTTCGTCTTGTGATTTGGCTTGTCCTCTGTGAGTGTTGTGTTCTGTCTTTGTTAGTATAGCCTTGAAATAAAGGAATGTTCACGTTAATCTGCATTTGGGTCCTACCTGCTTCACACACCGTAACAGTTTACATCAGGGTCCCCCATTTCCAATTCATCATATCATTTAAGACATATTTGACATACAGACGGCTTATTTACAATTTACATACAGGTGGTTTTTTACATACAGATTGCTTATTTACAATTTTCATTTTAGATTTCGTTCTAATACATCCTAACCGGACATTTAAGACATACCAAGTCTACAGATATACAGTTAGTAACAGAGTCTAAAATGCGAGTATATACATAGATGGGGGGGGGAAGCTGTCTATTGTACGACAGGTTGAGATTTGTACCATTACCGGGGCCAGTTCTGCAATGCTCTCCCCGAAGGTGCTCTTTAAGAGAGGTTTTGAAGGTAAGTATAGTTTTACTTTCCTTTACAGTTGTGGGAAGAGCGTTCCACCTTGATGTGGCATAATTGCGAAACGTGTATTCCCCCCTTTTTTGTGCCAAATCTGGGTTTCACATGATTTGTGGAGCTCCCTCTGGTGTTATGATCATGGTATTCCTTGACTTTTGGGAAGAATTTTGACATGTACATGGGTACCATAGAGGTGTAGTGGATCTTGTAGACCAGGCCCATTGCAAGTAGCTGTACTCTGTCGTCTACTCTAAGCCATCCTAGGTTGTCAAAGTGGGCAGAGGTGAGGTGGGTTCTAGATGAAAGGTCAAGCAGTAGTCTGACCCGTTTATTTTGCGATGTTTGAATTTTATTTTTAGCGCCTTGGAGGTGCTATGGTACCATGACGTGCAAGCATAGTCATAGTACCCTTGAATGAGTGCTCCTGCCAGAGTTTTCAGGGTGTTTTTGTTTACCAGAGAGGAGATCCGGTATAGGAATCTAGTTCTTTGATTGACTTTTTTTATTACATTGGATGCCATTTTGTCACAGGAGAGGTTTGCCTCAAGAATAGATCCTAGGTATGTAATTTCCTTCTTACTTGTGACAATAATGTCGCCCACTGCAACTGAGAAGTCGTCGGATTTGCTGAGATTATGTTTCGAACCGAAGAGAATGGACTCTGTTTTACCCAGGTATAACAAATCATTTCCATTGTGATGTGTGTGCTATCATTAGCATTAGTGTGGACAAGAGTTATGGCAATTTCAACCTTTATTGATTAACTCAAACCAATACAGAACAGAACGAGAGAAAGGTAAACACATGAAGTACAGAACAAAAGGCTAGGGTCATAATCACAGGTGTAAACAACAAATCAAAATAGACAAATGCAACAAGTTGTGATAGCTATGAACTTAAAGAGTAACAAAGAAATGAACTATTTTAATTGGTGATAATGGAACTTTTATATTTACATAAAAATATGGCAGAATAAGAATGTGTGAACATTAAGGCCGTACACACACCAAAGATACATTTACTTTACAGGCTCTTGGTAATGGTTTTCCATCAGTGAAATACGGCTCTTTACTGAAACCTAGTGGCAGCAGAATGAAACTGCAACTACATCAGCAAATGCATATTCCTCTAATAATCCCAATGTGCTTTTCAAAAACAACATTTATTTTGGAATGGATAAAAAATAATACAAACAAGTAGAAGAAAAATATATGAAGAAAGTAGATACATGTACATACAAAACAATGGAAATGGTTTGTTATCAGTAAATTATAACTCTTTAGTAATATGTACATTTTTCAACAATAAAAGCTAGCAGTTGCAGCATCTCTACATTTTGTAATTTCTTTTGGTGAAAATCATGTTACAAAATAAATATATACAATTGATTACATTAAAGGTAGGGTAGGTAATTTTGGAGAAACCAGCTCGAGTTTGCTGGAATTTGAAAATACACAGCCGGAAATAATCTGCCCCTTACTTCAGACTTCCTCACAGAGCCCCTCCCCCAACACACACGAACGTGCACATGACCAATGAGGGCACGAGATAAGTTTGTGCACAGATGGAAGGCTGACTGGCAGGTAGGCCATCCAGTTACTTTAGCCGGCTCAGATGATTGGTCGTGCTTTTTACAGCACTACGGCTTTCACAGATGACATTTTTTATGGATGTTAAGAGCATTCCATTGAATATAACAAAAAGTGTATCTCGAGCCGGTTTCTCAAACTTACCTACCCCACCTTTAAGTTGTGAAATACTTAACAAATTATTTACATTTGAGCCATTCAGATTAATAAAAACTAGGCTGAAAACTCATTGCCTAATTCCTGGAGAGGTCCACCCTGAAAAATGTATTTAAAAAATCCATATTACCCTGTATAAATATAAATATAAAATATTATGGTAAAATAAAAAATATCGGTAAAATAAGAACAAGCCCGGGTAGCTGGAGTCCAGGAGAAACAAGAGAAGGCAATAGCATTCACTCAGAATCTGTGTTACCTTCAAGGACAAGGGGAAAATAGTTAAAGGTAACAAAACACAGGACTAGACTTCAACTGTCACACACACTCCACAAGGTTTTGCTTCAGCTCGAGTCGAGCATTACGTAAAGATACGGGTCCAGCTCACGGAGAGCATTGATCAGAACCCTGCAGGCTGGAGCTCCTTTATTTCGTATCGCATCCAACACCTCTCGTGCTCCGTCATTTTGGGGTTTGGTTCTGGCTGACGTCATTTCAGAATCAGTGATAACTCCAGACTCAAAGAGTTTATCCAGAAGATCCTTCAGGACAGTTGGAGTCACTCTTTGAATGAACTCTGTCCGAACTGAGCGCAGCCACTGGTCTGCTGGGACTCTGCCCTCTGCTGGGACTCTGCCCTCTGCTGGGACATTTCTCTGGGACAATTCACGCCTTGGACCTGGTAGATAAACAGGGAAAATAATTTTGTTGAATAACAAACAATCACGTTAAACAGATCTGTTAAAAATGAAAGTAACTGAGCATTCCCAGGGGTGGATTTCTGTTCACTTGAAGTTATAATATGTAACATTTCCTCATTGAAAACTACTACACCTATGTTAGTCGTGTTTTGTTGAGTTTTGTACCTACATTATCCCAAATGGTTCAGAGAGACATTTCATTTTAATCAAGCTAACAGTACGTCTCATCACGGTCTCCTGTAATGGGGGCGTATCCACTTAACCAGGAGAAGCTGAAGACTACAACTCCCATGATGCCACACTGTTTCACCACCACACCACACTAGTTTTTACTATGGTTTTAAAAAATAACAGGTTGTGTGTTTAATGTCATAATGATGCGCTGCCATGGAGCCTTCATAGAGATTGCTATGAGATGGAGCTTTAGAGTTATCAGTCTATCACTGGGTCTGAACTCAGGTGGAGTCTTTACCTTCCAGTGACGCGCGACAATACCAGATTTCATTTCCATCTTGGTCCTGGACCTTCAAAACCACTCTCTCTGTTGTCGTCGTCAGGGAAACTTGAAATGTCGGATGGTAATTTGGTCCAAACCTGGAATCAAATGTTTTACTCTGAAAACCAGAAGCAGAAGTTAAACGTTTATCTGTTTCTTTCCTGATTGTGATATCACATGCAGATAAATGTGTTAATGACCATTGTGTTCCTTTAGAGGAGTATCAGTGACTCACCTCAGGCTGTATATAGAAGCCCTCAGGTTCACAGTGCACACTGTAACTGTGATCAATGTCCAGCTCACAGTCGGAGGAGTTTGTGATGTGCACAGCACGTTTGTGTTTGTCAGCAACCTTCAGTAAGAGGGTAACTTTAGTTATTCTCGGATAGTCAAGGCTACTTTAGTTAAAGATCACATTAAACAACAACAAAACATAATTATTGATATATATATTGCCTTTGTAAAGGAATATTCAAAATATATTCTTTTAATTATTGGATATAAGCTATTGAAGAAGCTATTCCTTTGGCACAGGGCTCACTTCAGTGTCTGTTAGAGAAACACCAGGATTTCAGCTAACTTTGTTGTAATTGTCATTACTAGAGGCTCTGAGGGACGGCGTTTCTAAAATAGCTAGAAAGTCCGCTACGGGAGTGCAGAGGGGGGGGGGGGGGGGGGGGGGCGGAGCTTGTGTCCTGAGTGAAAACTAAAGCTGAGTTATTTGTATTCACAATGTCACATTAATCCAAACCATGATCTTTTTGTTTATGCCTGCACAAACAGTTTTGGTACCTAAACCTGATCCTGAGCTGTAACAGGACAGTGTCTCGGAGTATCGTGTCACAACGTTAACCGAACACAAACCGTCTGTGTCAGTTATACAACACAAAAGGCTGCTGCCCAAGATGTAAAATATGGCTGGTAGGGATGAGATCACATTGTCTTGGCAGTGATTCATCTCAGCAGGTCGTTCAGTTCTGTGTGATGTGTTTACCTTTTATGCCATCAGTTTCCGCAGACAGAAAGACATGCTGAGAGAGAATCATACAAAACCACAAAGAGCGATCTGAAGATTTACAGTTCAGATAGATCTTATTCTTCTCCCAGCACGAGAAGGTTTGAGAAGAGGAGCAGTGTGTGTGGAAACAGCTGTGGTTTTAAACCAGTGTTTAGTCTGATGGTGAGCATGTAAAGAGCCTGACTTTACCTCCTCCACATGGACGTTGTTCTGCAGCAGATGTACATCCAGTGTTTGCTCCTCTCCGGACGGGGTTCGTAGAAACACCAGAATTTGGCCCTTTATCCGCCACTTTAGAAGCCTTTTCAATTTATCGATGATAAGGCCAAAGCGAGAGAGGTGAGGCACCTTCACCACCACGTGAGTGTGTGTAACCTCCAGCGGCTCCAAGATGCTCAGGCCTTCATCAGTGATGTGGACGACAGACAACAGGCCGTCCAGGAGCAGCGCTGTGGAGCAAAGAGCTGGTCATCTGTTGCTTTGCTGCTGAAACAGCTTCATCATATTCAATGTCACACCACTTTAGCTCAGAGCTAATGTTGATCTAATGTCATTCACTTTGGAGCCTCACTAGTATGTACCAGTTTATATCCTTCACCTTTTATTTTAGTATTTAATTATTGATCTGTGGCCCTGTGATCCTTCTGGATGGGAGCATTTACTGTCATGCATAAACGTTATTAATTGTTTGTTGATTCATAAGAACGCTGAAATGCTTGTCAGAAAAGCTTGACTGTGTCCGGTCTCATGTGTGAGTGACTCTAGATGTGTGAAGAGATTTCTAAAGCTTTTAAGGCGTAACAAAGTTCTGTTGTTTTGTTTTGTACATGGTTCAGCCAGACTGACAATGTAAAGAGCAGAGAGAGCAACATATGGATAACAAATCATTAATTAATCAAACTGCTAGCTTAGCATCACAACAGTTACAGAGAGTTAGCGTTGAGTTAGCACTGTTAGCAGCTGAGCATGCTGTGGACTGACAAATCCCAGTTTAAATCTCTTTAGTATTACAGTGAAGAGACTGCAGAGGGCCCGAAGAAAATCCAACTCAGTATTTAGAGCTGCATTGCATCGTCAGCTTTAATAATGATCAATAATGTCATGAACACATCGATACAATGGACGTTTTCATAATCACATTGTTCTTCTTTTGGGGACAAAAAAAAAGTGGTGTCTGAATTATACTGTTGTTATCTTTGTTAAACTAGTTTAATAAAGCTGCTTCATAACCTTTGAATGGTAGTAGATATAAAAAGGTGCCACATAAACATTATACAAGTGTATATGTGTTAACACTGCAGATGTCTTTACCATCCTCTGTCTCACTGTGTGGCAGGTGGAGCTGGCAGACGGCAGCTTCATCAGAACTCTTCACGTCGAACAGCGGCCCTGCTGCCTTCTTGCCAGCTGATTGGAGGAAGATCTCATCCCAAGGGACCGTCCTGTACAGAAGCTCTGCCTCCTGAACCATGACGAACACCAGGCCAGTCGAAGCACACTGGAACACACCTGGACCAGGACACCTGAAGCTGTAGACACACAGGGGACAAGTTACTACAACAAGCCTTCACTGGCCTGTGTTTTGAGTGACAGGTGTTCAATCCAGCTGGAGTCTGACCTGGAGGAGATCTGAAACACCTGGTGATTACAGAAACATCATTGAAGATGTGTCCATATGCATCAGTATGTGTGTGTACACAAACACAATAAAATCAATATACATTTAATATGTTTAAAATAATGTTTGGTCATGTTATAGGATTACCTGTATGAAGATCCAGTTGTGTGTTCAGGTGAGAAGGATTCAGGAGCCTGGAACAAACAAAGTTATTTATTTTGTATTTGAAAAATGCTTAGTAGTCTGGATCATCTGAGGTCATTATCAATTTCAAACTGTCAAAACACAGTATTACCAGCCAATCGCAGTATTACCAGCCAATCACAGAACACAAGCACCAGCCAATCACAGCACAGTATTACCTGCCAATCACAGCACAGTATTACCAGCCAATCACAGAACCGAAGTACCAGCCAGTCGGAATATTTCCCATTTCGTCGGGCATCCAGATATTTTAAATGGTATCGTCATATACATTTATTGAATCAACTTGGTGATATGTAATCCTCTTAGGCACACCTCCCATTAAAAAAAAGAAACAAATTCAATAGAAATATTCAGTCGCGGCCGGCCCATAGGGGTGCCGCCCCCCCTCTTCCCACATGTTTGATTGTCATTAAAAATAAAAAAATAAAAAATATATATATTTAAAAATAAAATATATATATATATTTTTTTTTTTTAATGAACAAGGTAAATATTATATAGTTGGTATCAGTAAAATGTATAATCTACGATAAAATCTCGTTTAAAATTGTTTTATGATGTCTAAAGTTACTGATAAGTCACATGTTTCCTGCCTGGCCGCAGCGTGTATCATTACCCTCTCTCGTCCGGGCGGTAGAAAGGAGCCCTCAGCCAGAGCAGCAGCAGCCAACAAGCTGACTGTTGCTATCTGTAAACTATGCCGCCGAAACATAATTTCAGCCAATCAGCGTCGTCAGATCTGATGCTCAAAGGGCGCCCTGTCAGCGCCCTGGCCTGTGTGTCTGTGAGTTGTATGGACTCGTATCCAAGGTGACGCTACAGTAGTTGTTGAGGATGGCTGCATCTGCAGGTGGAGACTCCGGGTGCTAGTGGATCGCTGGAGCTGTAGATTAACATTTACATGCTTATTGTAGTTGTAAGGGCAATGCCTGTAGCACCATGGAGCGTATGTGTGGGCTGGACCTGTATTTTACAGGAAAGGAATGAGCAGAGGGTCGAGTTGTCGATTCTTGTTAATGTGGCGGCACGTGGGGGGTGTTTGTTGGAAATCCTATTCAACTAAAAGACAGACAACGCCACCTTGTGAATTGCACCCAAGGAAATAATTATTCCAAGTACCAACAAGGCACTCAGGTTCGTGATACTGAGGGGCAGGAGACGTGGTTCCAATTTATCAAATGTTTTATTTCTGGCATTAAAATATCATTAAAAACACCATAAGATCATTATACACACTGGAAATAAAGGGGGGAACTCTTAATTCAGGGATGCTGAGGCTTACCAGTGGATGGAGGTGACGAGGGGTGAGAGGGATCCCAACAAAGTAAATTAAGGCACCCGTGATCACTACACACTCAATCAGGGGGGAGCACAGCATGACACACAAAGGGGGAAGCCACCACCGGGGACACCAGCACCACACCTTTGGCTCTCAGCAGTGGGTGACATTATTGTCACAAGTAAGAAGGAAATGACATACCTAGGATCTATTCTTGAGGCAAACCTCTCCTGCGACAAAATGGCATCCAATGTAATAAAAAAAGTCAATCAAAGAACTAGATTCCTATACCGGATCTCCTCTCTGGTAAACAAAAACACCCTGAAAACTCTGGCAGGAGCACTCATTCAAGGGTACTATGACTATGCTTGGACGTCATGGTACCATAGCACCTCCAAGGCGCTAAAAATAAAACTTCAAACATCGCAAAATAAACTGGTCAGACTACTGCTTGACCTTTCATCTAGAACCCACCTCACCTCTGCCCACTTTGACAACCTAGGATGGCTTAGAGTAGACGACAGAGTACAGCTACTTGCAATGGGCCTGGTCTACAAGATCCACTACACCTCTATGGTACCCATGTACATGTCAAAATTCTTCCCAAAGGTCAAGGAATACCATGATCATAACACCAGAGGGAGCTCCACAAATCATGTGAAACCCAGATTTGGCACAAAAAAGGGGGAATACACGTTTCGCAATTATGCCACATCAAGGTGGAACGCTCTTCCCACAACTGTAAAGGAAAGTAAAACTATACTTACCTTCAAAACCTCTCTTAAAGAGCACCTTCGGGGGAGAGCATTGCAAAACTGGCCCCGGTAATGGTACAAATCTCAACCTGTCGTTCAATGGACAGCTTCCCCCCCCATCTATGTATATACTCGCATTTTAGACTCTGTTACTAACTGTATATCTGTAGACTTGGTATGTCTTAAATGTCCGGTTAGGATGTATTAGAATGAAATCTAAAATGAAAATTGTAAATAAGCAATCTGTATGTAAAAAACCACCTGTATGTAAATTGTAAATAAGCCATCTGTATGTCAAATATGTCTTATATGTCTTATATGATATGATTAATTGGAAATGGGGGACCCTGATGTAAACAAGACGAAATTCTTTCTCTGGTCTGCATCCCCTTAACAATTGTATGTTTTGAGCTGTACTGTACTGTACCCAATATACAAGCTGTTAATAAACTTTTCAATCAATCAATCAAGCAACTAAGAGGGGCAAACAAGACACAATTACTGGGATAAACAGTAAACACAAATGAATACACAGACCAACACATAAGATAAGTATAAGACAATAAAAAGTCAAGAATACTACAAAATACTGATTTCAAGTAACTGATATTAACTGAAATAAACAAAACAAATTTAAAGCAACAGGGTCGAAAACTAAACCAAAGAAACGAAAATCAACCTAACAGTCTACTTAATCTTGAATTAAATAAACAAAACAAACTTAACTCAATGAAATAACTAATCATGAACAGAGATTAATCGAACAGTCCGCGATAACAATGTTTAAAATATGGCCCTGTAATGAAGAGCAAAGGCACAGTGATACCAAGAGGCTGGTACAGACAATGTAGGCCAAGAGCAACACCCACCAGGCAGTAGTGTAGCGGTGAAGCACAGTAGGGCAGGCAAGCCGGCTGTGCAGACAGACACAGCCGTGAGGGCAGACCAGCCGTCCAGGCAACAATCAGTCAGGCAAGACACTCGTAGACGTAGAGCAGTCGTGGATGCAAGAAAGACGTAGAGGCAAAACAGACGTGGAGGCAAAACAGCAGTCCTTTATCACGCAGAGCCTAGCAGACATTAAGTTTAAGGTGATGTTACGATAACAATACCAGGTTAAGATCATTCAGGAAGAATGATACAAGCAGAAGGTCTACCTTCCGATCAGGCCAAGTTCAGACAAACACACGGCAGGAGAGCTTCATTTACAGCGGCAGCAGACATGGGCTGCAGGATCCCTGCAAGGGTCTACAACCAGCGATACATTTAGTATTCAGGCTAATTGTCATGCTAGGTGTACAACAAACGGCAGCCACCGCAAACTCACCGGTGCCAGCGGAGAAAGCACGTCAGCGGAACCCGGAAGTGGCCTTCGTGCCAAAGAGCAAGAGGGAGCAAAAGCGACACTGACCCCTCTTTATAAAGGTTGCGCCGTGTGGTGATAGGGCTGAACAGTTTATCCTGCTGCAAAACGTTTTCTGTGACTCCTCAGTCCTCACCCTCTCAGACTTTGAGTTGCGCGCGCTGCTAAAGAGACGCGCTACCATGGAAACCAAACAATGGTGTAGCTCAGAGTCCTATAGAGATACTTGGGCCCTTTCTCATTTCATCAAATCCCCCTCCTCGACTCCTCGGTCCTCCGGTAGTGACCCGGAAATGAATTTCAGCGCGCCATGTTGAAGGACATCTAATTTCTCTAAATGCACTTTGAGGACCGAGGATCGAGCGTCGAGGAGGCTCTCTGGAGGAGCTCTAACCGAGGATACATTGATGGGTCCTCCACGGTCCTCCACGGCTCCTTCGTGGATGCATTTCCGGGAACAGAGATGTTTCAAAGAGTCGTGACGCACGGCCGGACTTATCTCAGCCAATGACAGCTCTGCATGCATCCCCTGGATATTATTTTATTAACTGCTTTCATCGCGACGCGATGTTTACAGTGAGAACAGCTGTGAGGTCCGTGCAGAAAGCAGAGCAGTGTGTATAATATATATCACTCAGTATAACAGGCCTACTCTCTTTATTTGCTTTAGTTTAGTAGATATCTACAAAGAGTCGATATTTTTCTAAAACCATTTAGTGCTTCACATAATAAAATACACAACTGCTGTAGCCTGTTTTAGGAGCTGTATGTGCGTGTGTGTGGTGTAGGTGTGTGTGGTACAGTGTGTGCATAGATGCAGCAAACAGACAGGTCTCAGTTGGTTTGGTGTCCTCTGCTTACTTTTAATACTTGTAAATAAAACTTTTGGCCCGGGCGATATATCCAGTCTCTGATAGTGTTACGTTATTATGAGAGTGTTCTGTTTGATTCTGAAATTGTATATATTTATATAAATATATACATATATGTGTGTGTGTGTGTGTGTGTGTGTGTGTGTGTGTGTGTGTGTGTGTGTGTGTGTGTGTGTGTGTGTGTGTGTGTGTGTGTCCGCATCTGTAGCCTGTTATTGTCTCATCATTATACTGCACTGTCAATGAATCAAAGTAAATATATTAGTGGTCATGAACACATCTGTCCATCAGACAGAGGGCTGCTGTGCCTCCTGTCATCATTAATGGACGTCTCTTTAAAATGACTGGTCAGAGGAGAGGAGTTCTCATTTCTCTAACCGCCTGCTGCTTCCCCTCCTCTCTCCTCGGTTCCCCTCCTCGGCTCCTCCGCTCGCATCTCCTGTGGGCGGGACTAAGTCTCGAGGATAGAAGTCGAGGAGGGGAGTCGAGGAGGGGAGTCGAGGAGGGGAGTTAGAGAAATGAGAAAGGGCCTAAGAGTTACGACACTCCCATAGACCTCTGTTGTAAAAAATGGCGGCGCCTACTTCCGGGGTATGGACATCGAAATAGTTCAAAATATTGTCATTTGGGTGTTGGACCTCATTCACTTACATTACGGCGCGTCGATTAGTTCCAGAGGTAAGTTGCTGAAATATCGAACTCTTTTGAATTGTCAACTGTCTATATTGTATCAGAGGCCCTTTATGATGCTTATACTGGTCTTCATTTGTATATGCACAGCGTAATTATCTATATTTTATCTTGGTTGTTACAACCAATTTAGCTAGCATTGCCTGCTAGTTAGCTAGCGCGACTTCGTCAGCTTTGAAGGTAAGATTTCAGTAATGAATCGCTAGCAGCTTATATATCAATGATGCTGGGTAACTAACAACCAGGATTTAGATTGATTATGTTTTTTTTGTTATTTTGGTTTTTATCTGCTGAACCTGACCGTGTCAGCCATCCTTACGGCCCGTCTACACTACAGGCATCGAAAAATGCTTTCAACGCTTCGCCCATTCAGTTGAATGGGGTGACGTAGTTGATTTTGAATCTTCGCCGAACTGCATTGTGGGGAGCGGAGCGTGGCTTTGCAAGCATTGCGAGCATCAAAAGTTGAGCAATGTTCAACTTTTGAGGCTTGATGCTTGGCATCAGCCAATCAAATCCCGTTTATGCAAATCCCGCCAGTACAAGCGCTAGCCAATCAAACAGCGTGCAAGCTGGGAGAGCCAGACCGCAGTTCATTTCCTCATATTCCAAACGAGAAATTACGGTAGCAAATCACCTGGTTCTTTACGACCAGAACTATTTACCGGGATACAAACCGGAGGAACCAGGCATGGAGGGAGGTGGCAGAGACAGTGGGTGAAACTGGTAGGTTTTCGTCTGTTTGGGGAGTTTATATCCAGTTTACTTCGTTTTAACATTGCTATTGCTTTGTATGTCGGGGGCGGGAGATTCATGTGATTGGTTGTTGGTCGCCTTGGGCGCGAGAAATCGCCAAGCCTCAGACACGCCCAGCTTCAAGATTTTTTTATGCCTGTAGTGTAGACGGGCCGTTAGTCGGCTTTTTCTGTATGATATGACTTAACTGCTAGCACTAGTAGAAATGAGGTGGCGTTTGTGATAAATATTTCATTTAATATTTCATTGAATTTTGGGATATACTAACATTTATTATGTGACATGTTGACTGTACTTAGTTTTTTTTTTTACTGTTCCGTGTTAACTCATCTGTACTGTACAACTAGCCTAGCGCTACTTTTTAATGCTTGATGGCATGCTAGGATAGATTCCTTTGTATTATAATATACACACTAGTTTAATGATTGTTCTTCAAAGGTATTATTCAGTCTTAAAAAAATAATAGCCTACTGAATAGGCTACTCTACAGCAGTGAATGAAGGATGAGTCTAAAACATGGTCATGCATCCAAAATGTTTATTTTTAACAAAATAAACACATAATAAGCACTTTTTTTTATTCAGCCTCATATGTCAGCCATGGCTGTTGCTGCTGCTGCTGGCGGAGGCTGCTGCTGCTGAAGGAGGGTGCTGCTGCTGGAGGAGGCTGCTGCTGCTGAAGGAGGGTGCTGCTGCTGGAGGGTGCTGCTGCTAGAGGAGGTGCTGCTGCTGGAGGAGGGTGCTGCTGCTGAAGGAGGCTGGTGCTGGCAACGGCTGCAGGTGATGACTGCTGAAAGAAGAGGAGGCTGGAGGCTGCTGACGGTGGACCGGGAATGGAGATGCCAAGTACATCGATGGCAACGAGTAAGGTGTTTGGCAGTGGCCTAGATGTTATGACCTTCGGTGCAGAGGTCTGTTGGGTCTTCTTTGCCTTCTTACTCTGACTCTTGCTGCCAAGATACCCTTTATGTTTATCCTTCCTCTCAGCCCTGATGCACTTTGATGCAATCCTTAATCTCAGCCTGATGTATGTTGAGAGGATTTTTGTCTTCAGGTCATGGCATGAGGGAAGGTTGCTGTCCAGCAACATGGCTTCTTGTTCAAGCTGTGACACTGCATTTGAGGACTCCATGAGGGAATCGCTCGTCCTCACACGGAACAGCTGCTCCACGTTCTGAACAAGGGTGAAAACCTCATCAGATGGACGGTAAAGTGCACCCCTTTTAAATTATTTTAATACCAGCAGACCAGCTCTCTCATTTTCACCATCACTGACATTTTTCACTAGGGCACACTGGCATTTGTCACAAAGTGAGAAGCTGATGACCCTTTTCACGATGTATCCTGCAAGGTGGTATAGCACACAGGACTTGGTTTTAGTGATGTCAGGTGGTGTTGTCAGGTCTACCAGCTGCACCACTCTCAGAATGTCAGGAGGACTGCAGCTGCTGTTCTGCATGTCCAGGAAGTCTGCCAAGTGGTCTGATCCATCCTCCACGTAACTGCCAGTATGCACTGGCGATAGGAACTGGCCCACGGTGACAGCGCGCAGTGCATATTGGAACTCTACAGGTGTTGGGACAGAGTTCCTCAGACGAATGGACGAAAATGTGTTTTCCAGGCAGTCTTGAGTGAAGCGGCTTGTGAGAACAAATGTGTGCCCTTGTCTCAACAGGTCATGCTGGACCTCCAGGATTGTTGTTGTGGCCATCACCAGTCCTGTCTGGACTGGTTTCCAGCTGCCCTTGGGACCGATCTTCAGGCCCCGAAACAGATGTTTTTTTTTGTAAATAATTGCTTACCCTAACCCTTATTTGTAAATAGTATTGCTTTTTTATAAATAGTTGCTTTATTGTAAATAGTTGTTTGTAAATATTTGTAAAAAAGTAACCGTATGTGGATATTGCATCGACCAACCTCGAAGCACTGGAGAGGACGCGCACAGTGAGAGAGATTCTCTCCAACACAGGGTGAGATCGCTCCTTTGTGCCACGCCGATCATCGTGTTTTCCTTTTTTGTGGATTATAGCCTGAAAAGGCCTACAAACATTTCTGTTTTTGCCGCCGACGGGCACAGGAGCAACAGCCTTTTTTTGTATCAATGAACTACACTATGGCCTGGATTAGGCAGTAAAGACAATTTCAATGTATCGCGAGTGGACTTTTTGTTGGGTTTTATTTGTTTTGTTTGGCTCGAAAAACTGTGAATACATTTGAATAACGCAGAAAACCTGTCTTTGTTTATTTTGTTAATGTGTGCATATAGACTTTAGTTAATACATTTCCGTGGGGACTATTTTGTGGGAAGAGCAGATTATCCGTTTATTATTTCTGTTTACCTTTTATAATATTATTTCATTCAAGAACCCCTTGTGCGTTTAATTAACACAACTATTTTTAGATAGTTGATCGTTACATGTCTGTCCCATAGAAGAACATGACAGCGCAGCGCAACTATACTACGGACGTGACTGCCCTGGCAGTGACATCAACATAGCCTGCTTGTGCTACCACACTTTCCCCTCAAAATATCGTTAAATAACGAAACTTGGAAATAGTGCCAATCCATACAAAGTGTAACCACATCATGTAAATATGAAAGCAATCTTTAAAAAATAACAGCGTTGGTGTTGCAGCCAATTTGATGTATTTTAATATTTGTATATGAAGGTGCTGTGATACTACTGAATTGACAATTTCAGGGTACAGCCTACTATTTGGGGAGGACACAGGTGCACAGCATTAGGGATTGGGAATCACCAGAGGGAAGCCACACAGTTTTTCAACCGTGCGTGTTTTCGCTTATTTTCTGTTTGTTTTGAGTTAATTTCGGTTTATTTCTTTATCAGTTAGTTGTTTAGTTATCAGTTAAACACCTGGCTCTTGTTTTGCTGTCATCATCCTGCAATCCAAATAAACATCTTAAATGCACTCAAAGAGAAGACCTGATTTGCTGTCAACACCACACGTCTGGAAAAGCTTCACACCATATCCCTCACTGGCAAATATTTGTTGTTCGGTTGCCTTTACAGTTGGTTTAATCTATGACTATTTTGACCATGTTCGTGCTGTTTTTGCCATAGAGAAACATTGCCCCGGAAGTGCGTTTTGAACTATCCCGGCATACATAAACCACGTGACCGGCTGGCGGCGACATCAAAGAGTGTCGTAACTCTTTCTCTCTAGGGCTCTGGTGTAGCTGTATTAAAGTCCGAGTGGAAACAGTCGTGAGTAAATCGTATTTTGTCAGAAATCGGGAGAAATATGAACCCGGGAGGAAATCGGGAGGGTTGGCAAGTATGACGCACGCACGCACGCACGCACGCACGCACGCACGCACGCACGCACGCACTTGAGTGTTCCCAAAGCACCAGTGTTCTGCAGTTTGTGTGGGCCTGTTGCACAGTTTTGGAATATTCATAGCTGACCACACTGAAGATTATGGATTATCTCATATTTTGAAGCCTCAATTTGTCCTCCCCCCCCCCCCTCTAACATCACCAGAAGTCATAATTTAAGGGGCCATTTCTCAAAAAAATCTTCTGGGGGAGGATCCCCCTGGACCGCCCTAGTATGGTTTGGTCGGTCATTTCCATAGCCCCACCAAAAATATGTTCCACCAGCTGCCACTGGAAATATTCATAACTCAACCAAATACCTGAATCATTTCAATCAATTGCGAGCGTTACAGCATTTAACTTGACAGCCCTAACAATTATATTTGAATTCAGTGGTGAAATAAATACACTTCACTCTTTACGCTCCTCTCTCACCTTTCTGTCAGTCTTCACTTCCTGTTCCACATTGGAGTCACCTGATGGAAAGAAGAGGTGAGAGGTGAGAAAATTCAGAGAATTGTTGACTGTGACTGAAACTTGTGTGCGTGTCCCGATGCTAAAATTACACCCGCTGAGTAAGTATAGCATTAGTTGAATTGTTAAGTACAACGAAGAATATCCATACATTTTGTTTGGCTTTGCCAGTGTGGCTTTGCCAGTCACACAGAATTACACTTGAACAAAGAGAAACATTAGCAGCCAAAATGATTTAATAGAGCTGTATCAAAATGGAATTAAAATATATTGTTGTTGTACTATAAAGACTATTTAAGATCAGATGTAATGTACAATATCTTGATGAATGGAGGATATGGTTTCAGTACTCACAGTTCTTCTGGATCTTGGCTCTGATCGTCTCGTTATTGATCCTGTAGGGATGAACACAATCCAACAGTTTTAGATCCAGATAAAATGAAGTGTTTGTTCTTTAAGTCAGCTTCAGAGTCCTGACTGATCTAATGCTTTACATCCCATGATATCTTCTCTGCAAACTCTACGACTGACAACCACAGCTCAGAGGTTGCGTTAACCGAATATTTTCCGTCAACCTGGTCTCACCAGAATGTGATACTCCACCACGACTCCTTAACACCGCAACACCTTAACACCGTAAGTGGTGGAGTCACGCACTCTGCTACATTTACGTGTCGGCACCGCGCAAACAACCCCAATGTAAAGTGAATGAGGCTCCTTTGTCGTGGTGCACACACGTATTTCTACAACGTCCCGCAGTGAGCTTTTATTCTATGAAACGTTTTTAAAATCTACTTTATAGCTTGTAGTAACTCACGGGAGGCTTCTTTTATTTTATTTGTATTCATAATTATTTTATTTTTCGTCAGAATGTAAAAATTACATTAGTTACGAATTTGTGTTCTCAAAAAACAGTGCATTGTGTGTAATGCAACTGTGATTTTTATTAAATGAGTTAGTTTTTAAGGAAGGCCAGAGTTTCAGCTGTGTCAATAGATTGTTCCCTTTAGTTAACGTTATTTAAAAGATAATGATCATGTCCCCTTTATTGTATTACGAGCGTCCATTCCTATTGGATAACGGATGTTGTACACAATGAATTGTGTACAATGCTTTTGTATTTTCCCCTTTCGATTCGGAGTAACAAATATTTTTTCTGAGTTTTAGGAAGGCAGAAGACACTACACTACCCAGAATCCTCAGCTATCGTTTGGGACTACACCATGTGCTTAGCTTGACAAACCCTTTATATATATATACAGTCTATGGACAAACCCCGTGATCAGTCCTCAAGCTCTGTGATTGGTTGACCTACAACTGCATTCCATATGAAAAAAAAACGTTTCGTAAAAGATAAAATCATACTTTATTCAGCAGTGCTTGCTTTACTCTTTGAAAGTCATCACATGAATGCATTGTAATAAATGGTTTGGCTGCATTAATTATTACACATCTGTCATAGTTCTTTATTTATCTACAGAGATCGGGGTTGCATTCCAATAGTCCATTTAGCTTAGGAACCTTCCTAACGGAGTGAAATGACCCGGAAGTACGTCAGTGGCAGCCATGATAAGTGCCGTTCCAATTCTCCAAATGTAAGGAAAGGAGGATTCAAACTTCCTTTATAACCTCCTTTAGCTTAGGAACCACTGGACCTCCCTAACCGAAAGGAGAGGAGAAAATGCTGCCCCACAATGCATTGCAGCCGCAGCATTTGCCATCACAACAGTCGGCCATTCACGGAAACAACCGATTATGACCGAGAAATGATATCATGAAAGTTACGGTGCTTATTAAGCATTTTAAAACGTATGTGGTAAGTTGCCAAAGTGCTTTTTTCTGAACGTTCATCAGTATTATAATCAAAAAGAGAAATATGAACGTTAGTTTTTACTGAAATGATCAAATAAAGTCGACCTCTCACAGTCTTTACTGAGCTGTGTGGAGTTTGTTCAACTTTTAAAAGATGTTTGAATGGTGATATACACAGGGATAGATGTTAAGGACTAACGTTTATAATAAATACATTTGTATTGATTTTAAGATCTTTTCATCAATCATACGTATTGGGATCATTTGTATTAATGTGGACCGGAGGGAGAGGGTGACGAGCAGAAGTTTCACTTTCCTTTTTTATTTCAATTCCAACTTTGGTCCTGAAGAATCTGTTTCTCTGTTGTCCACGTTCATAAAGCATAAAGCATCAGAGCACGGTGCAGAGTCTCTAGATGAGTCCCTCGTTCTTATTGAACATCCATGTTGTAGTCCGCTGTATAGAAAACTGTAGTTTCCATGGTTACCCCACAGCAGCAGACGCACATTCATGACGTCCGCTGGCGCATCATAAACACGTCAGATAGTGAAAGTGCATTCGGATTCTCTAAAGTACCGCGGTCTCTTCTCCTAAGTCCTTTTGAATTCTCCTATCCACTATCCCTTAACCCCGTGACGTTTCACTCAGAGGTCAAGGGATAGGAGATAGGGTTAGAATTTAGGAGCTGATTTTTGGATTATCCGAACGCAACCCGGGCATCAGAATAGACCGGAAACTATTCTTTTACCGTTCTGTTTTAATTTCAGAATAAAGTTAGTAGTAATAATTTGTTTTGATATTATTGTTTTTTATTAACTACTAGACTGCTGGGTCATGTTAAGACCATATTTTCTGTGTTGCTGTGAGTTTTTTATATCGCTTTTGTGTTACAAATATCAAAACAATAACATCATATATCCGTCGTAAACTAAACCAGAAACAGCAGTATATTTTATTTTGTTAACACTGTAAACTTGACAGCGTTTTATCCCGCACCTCCTACTGGTTAAAGCACGTTACTACACGTTTAGAGTAATTGCAATACAGGAAGGTTGGGTTGCTTTTTAATGACTGTTTTAAAATGCCTTTTTCTTAATGTCTTTCATTTTTGTAAAGCACTTTTGAATGTGTTATATTTGATGAAAACATTTAAATATTAAGAATACATACAAAATAGTGGGAAAGTAGAAGGTCATTGATATAAATATAGAATAGAAAATATCAAGAAGATACTGTAAATAATATCTACAATAAAACAGTTTAGTGCCTGATAGGAGGATGTGCAAAACAGACAAACTAATAAGGCTTTATTTAAACATTAAAGAATACTTTAGGCTAAGGTCTTCTTTTAAATAAGAAAAAAGCTTTGGGGGTATCTATCTACAGATAAATATTAAGCCTGACAAAGTACTTAACGTCTAATATATTGCATTCTACAAGTTAATCGATCGCAGATGGCGTGGACGAATAAAAAAAAAATATATAAAAAAAAAAAACCTAAATGGGTCGCGAAATATACCTGGGCGGCCCAAGTATAGTCTATGTGTGGGAAACCCTGATAAGCCCCCCCCTCTCAACCAACTTCCTCCTGACTGCTTTTCTTTTTGGTTTTGTTTTGTTTGTCTACCCTCCCTCCCAAATGTAAAGCGTCTTTGGGTTCAAGAAAAGCACTATAGAAATAAAATGTATTATTATTATTATGAATGAATATGCTTTATAGAGATCTGCAGATAAATATTTAGTCTTCTCAAGCACCAACAATCAAATATATCTCCTGATTGTTGGCACTTGACAATCACCTTCCCTGAATTTTACTCAGGTGTAACTAAAGTCTGATTTAAGGGTTGTTTATATTTCACATCATTAATCCAAATCTGTAAAGTAACTAAAATAAATGTAGTGGAGTAAAAATACCAGGTTAACCTTAAAGAAAGCCCTCAGGATCATAAAAGACCCCCATCACCCCAGCCACAAACAGTTCTGTCTGCTGCCGTCTGGCAGGCGATACCGCAGCATCCGGACTAAAACCACCAGACTCAGGGACAGCTTCATCCCACAGGCCATAAGACTATTAAACACCTGAACTTATAAACAACATCCATAACATTCATCTGGCTGCTACTTAGAAATTATGTATCTAAAATTATGTCACTTGCATATAGACTCTTATTGCACTTTTTACTATTTTTCTTTTTGTATTTACTTGCACCATTTTTTCTGTGTATCTGTTTTATTGTGTTGCACTTTTGGGGGAGCCTGTGACCTAAGGGGGGGGGGGGGGGTAGGACACGTTCGATTCCTGTGTTGGATAGTGTGCCGTCGATGGGTTTCATTCCATTTCAAAGTGCTTTTTGACGCTCTGTGTAAACTTCGCGCACTGCCACTCTAACATCCAATCACAGAGCTTGAGGACTGATCACAGGGTTTGTCAAGCTAAGCACATGGTGTAGTCCCAAACAAAAGCTGAGGATTCTGGGTAGTGTAGTGTCTTCTGCCATCCAAAAACTCCAAAAAACTATTTTCCGAATCGAAAGGGGAAAATAAAAAAAACATTGTACACAATACAAACCAATCAATGTTGTAGGATAATCAGCCAAACGACTCGCTCCACCCTCGCTGCGAGGGGGACCCAAGTTCCTATCAGCAAAAACATGTGGGTTTGCTATCCTGGCTCCAAAATGGTGGAATGAGCTCCCCATTGACATCAGGACAGCAGAAAGCTTTCACATCTTCCGGCGTAGACTGAAAATTCATCTCTTTCGACTCCACTTCGAGCGATAGAATTACTAACAAAGAACTGCTAACAGAGCACTTATATACTAATAAAGGACTGGCTTATCTAAAGCCAGTTGAGTAGCACTTGAAATGTTTGGCTCTATGAAACCTGATGTACTTATATGATTCTGTTTTCTTCAAGGTTGTGTCTTCCTGGTCGAATGTACGTGTATGTACCCAATGTATTGTAAGTCGCTTTGGATAAAAGCGTCAGCTAAATGCAATGTAATGTAATAATCTGGTGTTTTTGAGTTGATGAGTAGTGCAGATATCACTGTAAAATCAATCGACAGTAAGGAGAATACTTACTTCCGGGTGTAAAATCCTCCGTTATCCAATGGGAATGGACACTCACATTGCTCTTATACAATAAAGGGGACATGATCAAATAGGAATTTAATTATCTTTTAAATAACGTTAACTAAAAGGGAACAATCTATTTGACACAGCTGAAACTCTGGCCTTCCTTAAAAACTAACTAATTTAATAAAAATCACAGTTGCATTACACACAATGCACTGTTTTTTGAGAACAAAAATTCGTAACTAATGTAATTTTTACCTTCTAACGAAAAAGAAAAATTATTATGAATACAAATAAAATAAAAGAAGCCTCCCGTGAGCTATAAAGTAGATTTAAAAAACGTTTTATAGAATAAAAGCTCACTGCGGGACGTTGTAGAATGCGTGTGTGCACCACGACAAATGAGCCTCATTCACTTTACATTGGGGTTGTTTGCGTTAGTGATGGGCATTTAGATTCCCTTCGGGGACACGAATCTTTTGATTCAGTTCACTTTAAAGATTCGTTCACCGATTCGTTCACCGGTTCGCGAACGACTTCTGGTGATTTGCACGTTCGCGAACGATTCGTCTTTGTACTTAATTCGTTCAGTGAGTCTTCACTACTGCCGAAGTCCGTACAAGAAGTTTGCTGGCGTAAAATATATGATATTAAAACACATTTTACACCTCACCTTGTTGCCCCATAAATTATGCTCTGGGAATAGGCTACATATTATTTAAGAAATATAATTGGCCATTGTTAAATCTCATAAATGTGTGCCTGACTATACGATGTATTACAGCAGGCTAGCACGTTATACTTTCAAACCCATGCATGTACTATGTGGCCTAACTTAAATCCCAAAGCATTAAACTCCATTTGGCCGAGTTCAAAGTCAATACAAAAATATATCCTCTACATCGGTGACGATTTATTCATATTCTATGTAGGCTACCCATCTATGTTTACCTTTAGCTAGCGGCTAAGCTAGTGGGACGCTACGGAGCTCCGGTATCCGCCCTCTGAGGCATTTATGGCGGACAGGTTGAGGAGGATGTCCCGCTCCTGTGTGTGTGTAACGGAGCTCAGATGAGAGGGCTCTGATTACAGTTTTAATCCTCTGTCAAACTGCATGTTTTCTGCTATATACTGCTATAATGATTTTCTGCCACAGGAGTTTGACAGAGAATAACTGAAAGTACACAGTAAAATAACTTCATAGTAGCCTACTTGTGGTAGAAGTCCAACTAGTACTGAGTCCAACAGTAAAGTACTTCATTGTATTTGTGGTAGTTGTCTAACTGAGTCCAACTCTGTGTAGACGGAACATCCAGTATTTCGGAGGGGCCCTAACGGGACCCTCCTCTTGAAAGAAAGGGATATAAGATAAAAGAACTGTAGGAAACAGTTCTGAACTGTTTCCTACAGTTCTTTAAGTTCGTCGTTCGCGAACAGCTTCTCTTTAGCTTTTGGCGGAAGGTGGTGACTCAAACAAACGAATCGTTTTGTGGGAGGAATCAGTTCATCTCGTTCACTTAAAAGATTCGTTCAAAAAGAACTAATCGTTCGCGAACGACCCATCACTAGTTTGCGTGTTGCCGACACGTAAATGTAGCAGAGTCCATGACTCCACCACGCACTGCGGTGTTAAGGAGTTGTGGTGGAGTCACAAATTCTGGTGAGACCAGGTTGTTTTCCGTCTATGACAGATTTTTTTTTAACAATGACGTAAATATGTTTCAAACTCGGAACAGCGCCAAATTTTCCCCGCAGCGAGGCTCCGGTGTTATGCATGCCTGCCAAAAAGGAAATTATTCCAAACCCAACTTTCCCGTAGAAATCATTGAAATGTCTGTGAGTTTTGGCTTTACGCTGTGCGCACTCCCGCGAGGTGCAGTGGGCATGTATAACACGGCGCTAACAGTTCACGAGCGTGCGCCCCGCCCCCCGTTGACAGTTCACAACTGTGCTCCCCCCCCCCCCACACCTCCGTTGACAGTTCTCTCTCTCTCCCTCCCCCCCACACCACCGTTGACAGTTCTCTCTCCCCCTCCCCCAGAGTGTAAAGGCCGACGGGTAATTTTGACGGCAATGTTGCGATCCTGTCCGTCAAAATGATGGGCAACGAAAAAATCTAGCTCAACCTCTGCCACAGCTCTCTGCTGCATTAGTCTAGAAACCATGAGTTGGAGAAAATAAATGGAACTGAACTGCACTTTCTGACCAGAACTCCTTTATTTGAGGCCCTTAAGTGGTCAACAAATTCAAGCCGGCAAAATATCAAATTCATTTCACAACCCATAAAAAACAGACTACCTTTTCCACTCTTCTGTACAATCCCATGTCTGTTAGAGAGTGGATTCCTTATTAAAGTTTGGCTTCGCATATTCAGCTGGCCTTCTATAGTTTATCGAAGAATGAAAGAGCATGCATTCAGTGGGAAACATCACTGATCCGTTGTGATTCCCCAGCGAGAGAAATGCCTCCCTGTGTTTAATACAATACTGCTGAACCAGCAGAGACTGAGTCGACCCCTTACTGACCTGAGAGTCTCCAGTCTGCAGTCTGGACTCTCCAGAAGATCAGTCAGCAGCTTCACTCCTGAATCCTGCAGAACGTTGTAACTCAGGTCCAGATCTCTCAGATGGGAGGGGTTGGACTTCAGAGCTGAGGCCAGAGCAGCACAGCTGATGTCTGACAAACTGCAGCTCCCCAGTCTGATGTAATCAGATGTTCAGGTTTAATATGTGTAGCTCAACATTACCGCGTCCTAATCAATTACCTTTTCCCTGCATTAAAGTGACTGTCATTATGTTATTAAGGATCATCATTATATCAGCATTCTGTTTATTTTCTGTGAAAACACATTGAAATTATTTGGGACATAAACATTTCTGTGTCAGAAAGTAAACTTTACGTAAAACTAATATTAGTTCAGAAGAACTTCTTTATTCAGAGCATTTACAAAAGAAAACATACATTTACTTTAACAACCGACAGTGGAAGAATAATAGTTTCTTTAGGAAACAATCAACTGTTATGACAACCTTTACAAACATATGGATGTAATATATGTATGTAGAAGAATTAGGTTGAATAAGTAATGAAACATGAGATCTCCAGCAGTAACAGAGAGTCAGTGAACTGACCTGAGAGTCTTCAGTCTGCAGTCTGGACTCTCCAGAAGATCTCTCAGCAGCTTCACTCCTGAATCGTGCAGATCGTTGTTACTCAGGTCCAGATGTCTCAGATGGGAGGGGTTGGACTTCAGAGCTGAGACCAGAGCAGAACAGCTGATCTCTGACAAACTGCAGTACTCTATTCTGAATAAAGAAAACATGATGTAACTTCAGAAAACAATGTTCCTGTTTGAAATAACTTCACGTTTAATAATCTGTTCAGAGCTGAAGAAGTTTAGAAAGTGGAAACTCCAAACTGGTTAAAAACTGTCAGACATAAAAAGTGAAAACAAGCTCTAATACCCTGAAGCTTTAAGTCTAATACACTGAACAAAAATATAAACGCAACACTTTTGTTTTTGCTCCCATTTTTCATGAGATGAACTCAAAGATCTAAAACATTTTCTATATACACAAAATAACAATTTCTCTCAAATATTGTTCACAAATCTGAAAAAATCTGTGACAGTGAGCACTTCTCCTTTGCCGAGATAATCCATCCCACCTCACAGGTGTGGCATATCAAGATGCTGATTAGACAGCATGATTATTGCACAGGTGTGCCTTTGGCTGGCCACAATAAAAGGCCACTCTGAAACGTGCAGTTTTGCTTTATTGGGGGGGGTCTGGGGGGGTCCGAAAACCAGTCAGTATCTGGTGTGACCACCATTTGCCTCACGCAGTGCAACACATCTCCTTCGCATAGAGTTGATCAGGTTGGTGATTGTGGCCTGTTAGTGTTAAACCCTAACCCTAACATGTCAGTGGGTGACTGGTTTTCGGACCCCCCCAATAAAGCAAAAATGCACGTTTCAGAGTGGCCTTTTATTGTGGCCAGCCTAAGGCACAACTCTCTTCATCTCAGCACAGAAGTAAGAGATGGAGAACTGACCTGAGAGTCTCCAGTCTGCAGTCTGGACTCTCCAGAAGATCTCTCAGCAGCTTCACTCCTGAATCCTTCAGATCGTTGTAACTCAGGTCCAGATCTCTCAGATGGGAGGGGTTGGACTTCAGAGCTGAGACCAGAGCAGCACAGCTGATCTCTGACAACCTGCAGCATATCAGTCTGAATAAAGAAAACATGATGTAACTTTAGAAAACAATGTTCCTGTTTGAAATAACTGAAACCACGCCTATGTGACGCCACCATAATAATACATTGATAGTCGGCATTAATCAAAACAATAATAAATATAAATAATAGAACATCATGTATAAAATATTCATAATTGTTCATTATAAATATAAATAAGATAGAAATGCAAAATGGCTTCAACATGCTGTCTGTGGTGAGGTCTGTGCTGAAGCGTTCGTCTGACGCTGCTGTGGCTCGTTTGAAAGGAAATCCAACCACTGTTAATAAACGATGGCCAGTCAGATTCAGCAGGAGAGTCAGTAAACGTCAGGTCAGCAGAGCGCTGCTGTCTCTGCTGTATAACTACTCTATGTGACAGTGTAAGAGAGACGATGAACACTTCATATTCATAAGGTACCGCCAGTTACATATTTTCAAACTTTCTCATCAAACCAACCAGACTTGTATGGACAGTTAGTTCCTGAAGTTAAATCATGCTCCATCTGTTTTATTATGTTTACTCTGAGAGCAGCCGTGTTGCATTCTGGGAGCTTGTTCATCACAGCAGTGGATTTAAGCAGCAGAAAGCCGGCACGTGTACAGCCTCTAACGCAAGCTGCAAACATCGCTCCGGTGCTCAAGCTGGCACTTTGATACATATTGATCTCAGCACAGAAGTTAAAGATGGAGAACTGACCTGAGAGTCTTCAGTCTGCAGTCTGGACTCTCCAGAAAATCACTCAGCAGCTTCACTCCTGAATCCCTCAGATCGTTGTAACGCAGGTCCAGATCTCTCAGATGGGAGGGGTTGGACTTCAGAGCTGAGGCCAGAGCAGCACAGCTGATCTCTGACAAACTGCAGTGCCTCAGACTGAAAAAAGAAAACATGATGTAACTTTAGAGAACAATGTTCCTGTTTGAAATAACTCCAGGTGTAATAATCTGTTCAGCGCTGAAGAAGTTTATAAAGTGGAAACTCCAAACAGGTTAAAAACTGTAAGACAGAAAAAGTGAAATTGAGCTGATTTGTTTGTGATGTTCTTTTGTTTCAATAGTTTTATTTCTTAAACCAGTAAACAGAGAGGAGACTTCAGGCTCTTTAGTTTCTGCTTTTAGTCTTACTAAATAATCAAATTATCTTTGGGGAGAGGGGCGGGACTCTCAGAAGATAATGAAGCCCTCGCTCAATAACATGGGGGGAGGCTTTATAAAGAATGACATCAAGGCATGTATATTAATATCTCATTGAGAAATGTCAGCCTACATAACCACAAGGCGCTGTCTGTGGTGAGGTCTGTGCTGAAGCGTTCGTCTGACGCTGCTGTGGCTCGTTTGAAAGGAAATCCAACCACTGTTAATAAACGATGGCCAGTCAGATTCAGCAGGAGTCAGTAAACGTCAGGTCAGCAGAGCGCTGCTGTCTCTGCTGTATAACTACTCTATGTGACAGTGTAAGAGAGACGATGAACACTTCATATTCATAAGGTACCGCCAGTTACATATTTTCAAACTTTCCCACTAGGGCTGAACGATATATCGTGTCATGGCGATAACCGCGATATGCGCGATATTCACATCGCAGGGACGTGCGTTTTTTTTTTTAGGGCGTTCGATATTAAGTAGATAAATTAACTCAAACACGTCATGTTACAATTATTTTGCTGCTTGCTACAAAAGGAAAACTTGCGCGGCTCTCATGTCAGGGGTACTTGAGTGGAGTGACATGCAGGCTCTGAGTCTGCATGCACGGCAAACAACTATTTCAGATGCCTTGCCGGTGTTACACCATATGAGAAAGGTTCAAAACGGCATAAAGGAGCTGGTGTATAGCTGTTCTTAATTTTATTTTTATAATGTTGTTTAAAAGATGTCCACTACTTTTCTGCTATTTGCACAAAAAAGGTTTTAATTGTGGAATAAAAAGTTAAATTACCTATTTGGTCACGTATGTTAATTCCCTAATGTGATAATGAAGCTTCCTATAGTTTAATGTAATACGTTTAATCTCTTGGATCCCTTCTAGACACCACTCTTCTTCATTCACAGATGAACCCCCTTATTTGAGGGTAAGCAACCTGCATTATCATGACATGTTAGATCATCCAGACGTCCGTGACTAAAATCCTTCATCCGGTTAAATATAGTTAAAAAAAAACGCAATATATATCGCAGGGGAAAAGAATATCGCAATGTCGGTTTTTTTCAATATCGTGCAGCCCTATTTCCCACCAAACCAACCAGACTTGTATGGACAGTTAGTTCCTGAAGTTAAATCATGCTCCATCTGTTTTATTATTTTTACTTTGAGCGCAGCCTTATTACATTCTGGGAGCTTGTTTCAAGTTTAAAGGCTTTTATCTTCATGTGTGCATAGCTACAGTGTAGTTATGACAATGAAAATCTTAGATCACAGGCTCTTCCAACAGTGCAACACAATAAAACAGATAAAATAGTGCAATAACATGATATAATAGAAACAGAATACAATAGAAACTGTGCAGAATAGTCGATATACAGTAATTGGAATATGTATGAGTTGCAAACAGATGAATGTTATGGATGTTATTTCAAGAGTTCGGGTGTTTAGCAGTCTTATTGTGTCTCTACTGTAGGCTATTTTTATTATATGTACAGCACTTTGGCTCGACCAAAAATCGTTTATAAATGTGTTATATAAATAAAACTTGATTTGATTTGATTATTCCCTGCGGGATGAAACTGTCCCTGAGTCTGGTGGTTTTAGACCGGATGCTGCGGTAACGCCTGCCAGACGGCAGCAGACTGAACAGCTTGTGGCTGGGGTGATGGGGGTCTTTTATAATCCTGAGGGATTTCTTCCTGAGCCGCTGGGAGAAAAGATCCTCCATGGATGGCAGCTCCGTCCTGGTGATGTGCTGTGCAGCTTTCACCAGCCTCTGTAAAGCCTTACGGTTGAGGGCGGTGCAGCTGCCGTACCAGGCCGTGATGCAGCCAGTCAGGATGCTCTCTATGGTGCACCTGTAGAGGTCAGGATCCTCTCTATGGTGCACCTGTAGAAGGTCAGGATGCTCTCTATGGAGCACCTGTAGAAGGTCAGGATGCTCTCTATGGTGCACCTGTAGAGGTCAGGATGCCTCTATGGTGCACCTGTAGAAGGTCAGGATCCTCTCTATGGTGCACCTGTAGAAGGTGCAGGAAGGCTCTCTATGGTGCACCTGTAGAAGGTCAGGATGCTCTCTATGGTGCACTGTAGAAGGTCGGATCCTCTCTATGGTGCCACCTGTAGAAGGTCAGGAAGCTCTCTATGGTGCACCTGTTAGAAGGTCAGAGTCTAGGTGCTGTCTCTATGGTGCACCTGTAGAAGGTCAGGATGCTCTCTATGGTTGCACCTGTAGAAGGTCAGGATGCTCTCTATGTGCACCTGTAGAAGGTCAGGATGCTCTCTATGGTGCACCTGTAGAAGTCAGGATGTAGAAGGTCAGGATGCTCTCTATGGTGCACCTGTAGAAGGGTCAGGAGCTCTCTATGGTGCACCTGTAGAAGGTCAGATGCCTTCTCTATGGTGCACCTGTAGAAGGTCAGGATGCTCTCTATGGTGCACCTGTAGAAGGTCAGGATGGCTCTCTATGGAGCACCTGTAGAAGGGTCAGGATCCTCTCTATGGTGGCACCTGTAGAAGGTCAGGAGGCTCTCCTATGGAGCAACCTTGTAGAAGGTCAGGATGCTCTCTATTGGGGCACCTGTAGAAGGTCAGGATGCTCTCTATGGTGCACCTGTAGAAGGTCAGGATGCTCTCTATGGTGGCACCCGTAGAAGGTCAGGATCCTCTCTAGGGTGCACCTGTAGAAGGTCAGGATCCTCTCTATGGTGGCACCTGTAAAGGTCAGGATGCTCTCTATGGAGCACCTGTAGAAGGTCAGGATGCTCTCTATGGAGGCAGCGCTGTACAAGGTCATGGATGCTCTATGGTGCACCCGTAGAAGGTCAGGATCCTCTCTATGGTGCACCTGTAGAAGGTCAGGATGCTCTATGGTGCACCCGTAGAAGGTCAGGATCCTCTCTATGGTGCACCTGTAGAAGGTCAGGATCCTCTCTATGGTGCACCTGTAGAAGGTCAGGATGCTCTCTATGGTGCACCTGTAGAAGGTCAGGATGCTCTCTATGGAGCACCTGTACAAGGTCAGGATGCTCTATGGTGCACCCGTAGAAGGTCAGGATCCTCTCTATGGTGCACCTGTAGAAGGTCAGGATCCTCTCTATGGTGCACCTGTAGAAGGTCAGGATCCTCTCTATGGGGCACCTGTAGAAGGTCAGGATGCTCTCTATGGTGCACCTGTAGAAGGTCAGGATGCTCTCTATGGTACACCTGTAGAAGGTCAGGATCCTCTCTATGGGGCACCTGTAGAAGGTCAGGATGCTCTCTATGGTGCACCTGTAGAAGGTCAGGATGCTCTCTATGGAGCACCTGTAGAAGGTCAGGATGCTCTCTATGGTGCACCCGTAGAAGGTCAGGATGCTCTCTAGGGTGCACCCGTAGAAGGTCAGGATGCTCTCTATGGTCCACCTGTAGAAGGTCAGGATCCTCTCTATGGGGCACCTGTAGAAGGTCAGGATCCTCTCTATGGTGCACCTGTAGAAGGTCAGGATGCTCTCTATGGTGCACCTGTAGAAGGTCAGGATGCTCTCTATGGAGCACCTGTAGAAGGTCAGGATGCTCTCTATGGTGCACCCGTAGAAGGTCAGGATGCTCTCTAGGGTGCACCCGTAGAAGGTCAGGATGCTCTCTATGGTGCACCTGTAGAAGGTCAGGATCCTCTCTATGGTGCACCTGTAGAAGGTCAGGATGCTCTCTATGGTGCACCCGTAGAAGGTCAGGATGCTCTCTATGGAGCACCTGTAGAAGGTCAGGATGCTCTCTATGGTGCACCCGTAGAAGGTCAGGATGCTCTCTAGGGTGCACCCGTAGAAGGTCAGGATGCTCTCTATGGTGCACCTGTAGAAGGTCAGGATCCTCTCTATGGTGCACCTGTAGAAGGTCAGGATGCTCTCTATGGTGCACCCGTAGAAGGTCAGGATCCTCTCTATGGTGCACCCGTAGAAGGTCAGGATGCTCTCTATGGTGCACCTGTAGAAGGTCAGGATGCTCTCTATGGTGCACCCGTAGAAGGTCAGGATGCTCTCTATGGGGCACCTGTAGAAGGTCAGGATGCTCTCTATGGTGCACCCGTAGAAGGTCAGGATCCTCTCTAGGGTGCACCTGTAGAAGGTCAGGATCCTCTCTAGGGTGCACCTGTAGAAGGTCAGGATGCTCTCTAAGGTGCACCTGTAGAAGGTCAGGATCCTCTCTATGGTGCACCTGTAGAAGGTCAGGATGCTCTCTAAGGTGCACCTGTAGAAGTTGCAGAGTTTCTTCCTCCTCAGCCTGCGGAGGAAGAAGAGCTGCTGTCGAGCTGTTTGGTGATGGTGTTTGTGTGATGAGTCCATGTCAGGTCCTCAGTGATGTGGACACACCGTACTCCCATTGATGGTGATGGGGGTGTGTCCCTCTCTCTGCTGCTTCCTGTAATCCATAATTAGCTCCTTGGTTTTGCTGACTTTGAGATGGAGGTTGTTATCCTGCACAACCTCTAACGCGAGCTGCAAACATCGCTACGGTGCTCGAGCGGCACTTTGATACATACATATTAATCTCAGTACAGAAGTAAAAGATGGAGAACTGACCTGAGAGTCTTCAGTCTGCAGTCTGGACTCTCCAGAAGATCTCTCAGCAGCTCCACTCCTGAATCCTGCAGATCGTTGTAACTCAGGTCCAGATCTCTCAGATGGGAGGGGTTGGACTTCAGAGCTGAGACCAGAGCACCACAGCTTTTCTCTGACAACCTGCAGCCACTCATTCTGAATTAAGAAAACATGATGTAACTTTAGAAAACAATGTTCCTGTTTGAAATAACTCCAGGTTTAATAATCTGTTCAGAGTCAAACAGGGTTTTAATGTCAGAGATGATGTTTAAACAATCCATTGATAATCTGGAACTTTAACTTTGATCAGATCTTTAACAACTCCCTCACAGCTCATCAGTACTGACAGCATCTCCACTGACTCCTGGAGCACAGAGTCAGTCTGTGGAAGCTCAAACACTCTCCCTCACACATTCACCTTCTCTTTTTGTTATTCTGCTGAATATTCAGTCATTAGCAAAAGTGGAAATAAATATATATTTAAAATGTATTTGTTCTCAGGCAAATTCAGAAAATGATCAATAAAAACAGATCTGTATGAAGTACAGTCAGTGAACTGACATGAGAGTCTCCAGTCTGCAGTTTGGACTCTTCAGTCCAGAACTCAGCTCCACTCCTGCATCCTGCAGCTTGTTGTCACTCAGGTCCAGATCTCTCAGATGGGAGGGGTCAGACTTCAGAGCTGAGGCCACAACTTCACATTCAATCTCTGAAAGTCCACAGCCAGTAAGTCTATAACAACACATATATCACAACAGGTGTTAAAATGAGAGCAAACATAATATTACCCTCAAGCATTTAATGAAAAAGATTTGACATATGTTCTGATAGACATTTGCTGTCAGTCCATTTAATGTTATATATTATATTATAATAGAGTTTAATGTGTGTGTTGTCAGTGTGATCTGATCACATGTCTGTGCTCCTGCTGTCACTGACTGTTACCAAAGAAACATAAATTAAACAAATCAATTGATAATATTAGAGATGTACATATTTAAATGTTCATTAATGTTTGGATGTGAATGATGGAAGAAGGATGTTTAGTCTTCTCTGAACATCTGAAAATGTACTGCGCACACGAACACAATTAACAAACCAATAAAGTTTCAATAATTTCAACTGAATACCATCAGATATTCCCAGTATATCAGCATTAAGACATAACTCTGTTATTGGTGGGAAATTATATAGATCTTACTTTAAACTCTAATACATTGTGATAAAAACTAGGGCTGTCAGTCGATTAAAATAGTTAATCGCAAATTAATCGCACATTTTGTATCTGTTCTAAATGTACCTTAGAGGGACATTTTTTAATACTCTTATCAAAATATGAGTGGACAAATATGCTTTATGCTAATGTTTATTATCATTTGAACAATGACAAATATACTCATGAATATTAAACACAACAATCTTTGAATATTACAAATATTCGCCTCAATTCAAGTGTGTGTGTGTGTGTGTGTGTGTGTGTGTGTGTGTGTGTGTGTGTGTGTGTGTGTGTGTGTGTGTGTGTGTGTGTGTGTGTGTGTGTGTGTGTGTGTGTGTGTGTGTCGGCGCAGTTGTCGGCGAAATGCCGCTCCTCTGTTTTCATAACTGTCAAAGCATGAGACTGAAGTTCCCACTGTGGGTCAACATAATGCGCTGTGACCCCGAGGTAACTGTCATTACTGAGTGAAGTCCAATAGTCTCCGGTGAGCGCAACTGTGGAAGTTAAATCCTCCTCTACTTTCGAGTTTTGGACTTCATACAAGTTGTGTATTTCCGACACAGTGGTGGCTCTGGAAGGCAATTCATAAGTGCAGTCGTTGGATGCGACCCGAATTATATCACGCAGCCCCTCGTCCTCCACAATGTTAATTGGCCTGCAAGCTGTCGCCACCCATTTAGCGATCTTTGTTGAAAGTTTGCTGCTCGTAGACGTGTCCAGGCGTCTCCCCCGCACACTTTCAAGTGTGGTCTGTCAGGGGCTGTCAGCATCAGCAGTGTGCTTGAATTGTATAGATGGTATTTTAAACTCGATGCGCTCTGAAACTACGGTGCGGCCGAGGACAAAAAATGCACATGCGTTAATCGCTGTGACGAAGGTAACTTGTTGGTTGATTAGGGTGTGTGTATTTAGGCTCTGGGGTTTTTCTGTTTGGCAGGTAGTGTGGGTGAGATCCTTGTGGCTGGTGACTGTGTTCACCATATTGCAATATTGCAATATTGAGGCTGTGTATCCTGTACCACAGCGATGAATAAATGCCCACACCGGGTTATATTTGAATTCTCTGCCTCTGCCTCCTTGCTTGGTCGGGCCGCTCAACGGTCAGCTTCACAATCGCGTTAAAATAATTAGTGGCGTTCATTTTTTTTTGTTATTAACGCGTTAACTTGACTTAAAAACATGTGTTTCTGTTTAATGATAAATAACTACTAGAAAGTAATAATAACTGCTTTCTCTGATAACTGTAAATCCTGCTGTGTGGTGTGATCACGAGCTGCTGTGAGAAACCTCTAAAGTCCTTCATGTGTTTGATATGTCGCCTCCATCACTCAGTATAAAGAGAGAAATGGTTCAATTGAACTATTATTATAAATAAATAGATGAACAGGGTTGGTTTATTTTTGCTCTCATAGTATTTAAACAGCAGAAATGTTATATTGTTTATTTGAATAATTAAACTTCTGATCCACATTAGTTTATAAAGTTAATCAGATCTGGACTTACTTGGCCTTCCTGCAGTTCCTCACAGCTGGAATCAGTCTCCGTCGTCCCTCCTCTGATGTTTTGTACTTCTTCAGGTCAAACTCCTCCAGAACCTCCTCTGACATCTGCAGCATGTAGGCCAGAGCTGAGCAGTGGATCACAGATAGTTCCTTCTCTGATCTGTTCTCTGACTTCAGGAACTCTGTGATCTCCTGATGTACTGAGTGGTCCTTCATCTCTGTCAGACAGTGGAAGATGTTGATGCTCCTGTCAGGAGAGATTGAAGAACTGCTCATCTCCTTCAGGTTGCTGATGGCTCTCTGGATGGTTTCTGGTCTGTTGTCTGTGCGACCCAGCAGGCCCCCTAACAGCCTCTGGTTGGACTCCAGAGAGAGGCCGTGGAGAAAGCGGACAAACAGGTCTAGGTGGCCATTTGGACTTCTGAGGGATTTCTGCATGGCTCCCTTCAGGAAGACAGGCAGGGTTGGGTAATCCTGATATCTACTGTTGCCATATTCTCCCTGCAGGAAGTCCTTCAGTACCGCTGTGTCTCTGTTGGTGTAACAGTGCAGCAAGTAGACTGCAGCCATAAACTCCTGAATGCTCAGATGAACAAAGCAGTAGACTGTTTTCTGGAAGATCACACTCTCTCTTTTGAAGATCTGTGTACAAACTCCTGAGTGCACCAAGGCCTCGGTGACATCAAGACCACAGCGCTCCAGGTCTTCTTGGTAGAACATGATGTCTCCTTTCTCCAGATGTTCAAACGCCAGCCTCCCCAGCTTCAGAAGAACCTCCCAGTCAGTCTCCGTCAGCCGCTGTGGACTCGTCTCATGTCCCTTATCATACTTCTGCTTCTTCCTCTTGGTCTGGACCAGCAGGAAGTATGAGTACATGTCAGTGAGGGTCTGGGGCAGCTCTCCTCTCTGGTCTGTAGTCAACATGTGGTCCAGAACTGCAGCAGTGATCCAGCAGAAGACTGGGATCAGACACATGATGTGGAGGCTCCTGGAGCTCTTGATGTGAGAGATGATTCTGCTGGACAGGTCTTCATCACTCGATCTCCTCCTGAAGTACTCCTCCTTCTGGGCGTCAGTGAAGCCTCGTACTTCTGTTACCCTGTGCACACACTCAGGAGGGATCTGATTGGACGCTGCAGGTCGGGAAGTTATCCAGACGAGAGCCGAGGGAAGCAGCTTCCCTCTGATGAGGTTTGTCAGCAGCACGTTGACTGAGGACTGCTGTGAGACATCAGACACAACCTCATTGTTTCTGAAGTCCAGAGAAAGTCTGCTTTCATCCAGGCCGTCAAAGATGAACAGCACTTTGCAGACAGCCAGCTGCACGGCTGTGACCTTCTGTAAGGTTGGATGGAAAACATGGAGCAGCCTGAGAAGACTGTACTGCTCTCCTTTGATCAGGTTCAGCTCCCTGAAGGAGAGCGGGATCACCAGACTGACATCTTGGTTTCCCAAACCCTCGGCCCAGTCCAGAGTGAACTTCTGCACTGAGAAGGTTTTTCCAACACCAGCGACTCCATTGGTCAGGACCGCTCTGATGAGAGTCTGCTGGTCAGGTAAGGCTTTAAATATGTCCCTGCACTTGATTGGAGTGTCATGGAGGGTCTCTTTCTTGGAAGCTGTCTCCAGCTGCCTCACCTCATGCTGGGTATTAACCTCTTCACTCAGGCCTTGTGTGATGTAGAGCTCAGTGAAGATCCTGTTGAGGAGGGTTTCACTTTCATCAGTTCCTTCAGTCACACGTTCACATCTCCTCCTCAGACTGAGCCTATGTTCATCTAACACCTCCTGCAGACCACTATCTGCTGGAAGAGAAGGAAACAGGAGAGAATCATGAAATTATTTTGAGAATCCAACTATAAAACAATAAAAACAGACAGTTTAACATTTGTATGAAACAGCTTACTTTCTATGCTATACAACAGTATACCTAATCAAAAACTGAAAATAATCCTGCTTTACTATATTATGTAAAAGTTATTTGCTAACATTCCCCTTAAGATCTGTCCAGTGTTTCTACTTAGGAAAACACTGTTGTCTGTTTTAATACACACTTCAAAAAACAATGCCTGGAGGAAGACCAGATGACACTCTGAGCCAATGAGAGTTCATACAAGAGTAGAGACCCAGCGCCCGACGGATCTAAAGACGCTGCATTTGTTTGGCCTCTTACCTCGTACAGAGCTGGTCTGACTAGCTGTCTGCAGTCCAGCTCTGGTTCTGGATCTTTTCCCACACTGGGGACAGGAGGAGTCTCCTGATGGAGGTCGCTGCTCCCAGTATGAGGTGATGCACTGTCTGCAGAACCAGTGTCCACAGCTGGTAGAGACTGGATCCTTCAGTACCTCCTGACACAGAGCACAGCTGGAAAGCTGCTTCTCCACAGGAACAGGACTTGTTCTCTTCTCTCTGTGGAGATTAACACATCCTTTATAGCACTTTACATTAGAGGAGCTGATTCTCACCAACAAGGTGGACAATTCTAGTTTGATATTTAAAAAATGTCTATATCTCTATATAATATATCTTAGTGATCAGGTATAGTTTACACTTCACATTATTATGAAAGCAAACAGCATCTTGTCTGGATTCATCACCCAGAGGAGCACATGTTCACTCAGACACATATCTACTAAGACACACCAAGCTGTATTAACCACTAGGGCTGCACGGTATTGAAAAAAACTGACATCGCGATTTTTTTCCCCCCTGCGGTATATATTGCGTTTTTTTTAACCTGTTAAACCCCAAAGTCTCGGCGGGTACTTTACTTTTTTTTCCACCACAGTGTCTCAGGGGATCGTAATATTTAAGAACCTATTAATGTGTTATACCAGATTAACAGAAATAATCTCAGCTAACTGACGATACAAACCATTTTTACCAAAACAAAACACAAGTCTCATAAGAAGCATCTAAATGACCCCTGAGCGAAAGATGCTAACGCACTTTGGCACAGAACTCAAGATAAAAGTACCCTTATTACTTATCGTAGCTGCACTTACAAGATATCCGATTAAAGCTGAGGTTCCACAGATTATTTAGGTATATAGTATCATCACTGAGTGATCTGAACTCGGACAGGGGAAGCAAACACAGACATCACAACACGTACCTTTACGGAGCTTCTAGGAGAGATGTCTCACCGTAGCTGTCAATCTGATCAAAAGACGTGTTCAATGGCATTAAAACGAGAAAGAAAAAACGCGGCTGAATCGGTTAATCCATAGGTTTTTAACGTCTCTGTATAAAAAATGATTTAATTTATAATCCATAATTCCATTTGTATGTAAATATCGCAGAGCAAAAGTTAGCTGCTAATGGTAGCTACCAGAGTGGCTGCTGCTTCCGGTCTTGGCAATGCGGAAGTCTCACACACACATGACCAAATAAGGAGTGAGAGTGACGCGTAGCCAAAACCGGAAGCTGCATACACTCTGGTAGCTACCATTAGCAGCTAACTTTTGTGCTCCGATTTTTACATAAAAATGGAATTATGGATTATAAACAATTGCTTCAAAGCCACAGATACATTATCAACCTATGGATCAACCGATTCAGCCGCGTTTTTTCTTTCTCGTTTTAATGCCATTGAACACGTCTTTTGATCAGATTGACAGCTACGGTGAGACGATCTCCCGTAAAAGCTCCGTAAAAGGTACGTGTTGTGATGTCTGTGTTTGCTTCCCCTGTTGCGAGATCGGATCGCTTAGATACTATACTTAAATAATCTGTGGAGTCTCAGCTTTAATCGGATATATTGTATGTGCAGTTTCGATAAATAATAAGGGTATCTTTATTTTGAATTCTGTGCTAAAGTGCGTTAGCAATTTTTTTTAAATGAATAAAACCGCACGTCCCTGCGGTGTGAATACCGCGAATGTGCATACCGCGGTTATCGCCATGACACGGTATATCGTTCAGCCCTATGGTGCACTATAGCATTATAAACACAATATACATACAATTTGCTGTCAATTAATTACAATAAACATAGCATTAAAAGCACAGAGCATAAAAACATTTCAAATGTTTTCTGAATGAGACCGGTTTGATTAAAGCTAGGATAACATTGTAGCTGCTCCATCAACACTCAGAATGACTTCATGTAGTCATAAGCACAGCACTATATTGTTATTACCATAGACATTCTCTGGTTTAAACCAACCCAGTCTCACAAAAAAACGTGTAATAACTAAGTTGGTCCACAACTTGGGACGTAGTATTTCTACAAAAACTAAGCGCAAACTAATACGTTTGCGCTGTGGACCAACACTATACATTGACGGGGAAGGGGGTAGCAATAAAGATAACACCATTAAACAGTTACAAAACATAACAGAAATAATATCGATAGCAGCCTCCCTAGCAACCACCTTGGTAACAATGAAAACGTTGTATAGACACAATTTCCTGAAGTAATCTTCGTAATAACTAGCAAACTAAAGATCATGTACATCCACTGCACACATAATCTGAAATAACAACTCATATTTCTCGCATCAAATGACATCAAAACGCATTTTAATGGCCAAACTAACCTTAAAATAGGCATTTTCCACCGAGAATAAAACGAAGGTCGGCCATGTTTTTTTTTTTCTGCAGGGAGAAATGTGAAGATCACGTGACATAGACGCCAGCCATTGGAATGAATGGTGAAAAAAAACTTAGGGATCTTACAATTTCAGAGGCGTTTTTGTAGAAATACTACGTCCTACGTTGTGGACCAACGTAGTTATTATACGTTTTTTTGTGAGACTGGGTTGCTTTAAACAGGTACATTAATAACCCTGATTTAATATGAGGTACTGTAGAGCTCTGTTTTCCTTTCTGATTTCCCTCCGACCGTCAGAGACCACAGGAGCAGAATCTCAACACTGACAGGTTTTTGTAACAGACCGTCACAAACTTTATGCTCAAGTTGAAATGTTTCACGCTGCACAAATACGCAGGTGACATACATTTCACTTCTTCACTTCATTCGTGTTGCCAGGCAGGCAAGGATATGGGACTTTTCATTGACTCTACATGTCATCTCTCAAAACTCTGTTATATGGTAATGCTAAACACAACCAGCTCACCAGGTTAACACTATTATTAACATCTTAAAAATACACATCATAAACACGCCCAAGTAGTAAATTAATGTTTTCGACGATATATTTTGTTTTAAGAACAGTTTTTATCTATATTTTTGCAATTCAAAACCATTTAATGCCACTGACAATGATAATGCAATTGCATCTTGAAATATCCTTAAAGTGGACCTATTATGCTATATTGGAAAAATATATTGTAGGGCCATACCTATACAAAACATTTCCGTGAAGTTTTTTGGTTAAAATACCAAACAGATCACCCATTGTAGCCGTGCCTCTTACTGCTCATACCCCTCTTTTGCAGCCCTGTTAGAGAAACGCGAATTTTGGGTCCTTAGCTTTAAAAAAAAAAAAAAAAGAGGAGGCGGAGCTAATGCCTGATCAGAATTCTACCGGAGATAAAGTTAAATTCTGCTGTGATAAAACGCCATCCTGTTCTAAACCACATCAAGGATTATCTCTGAAACAGTATGGAGCTCAAATGCTTTTTCTCTTGGAGGTTTATCACAAGGCGAGTTCCTTTTTTTATTTCCTGCTTTTCAAACACATGTGCTCTCCAGTACAGGTTAGCTCTGAGTGTTAGCGAGGCTAGCTAATGTAAACAAAGACGAGATTACGTCCAAAACACGTCAGGCATTGTTTCTAGGGATGCACCGAATATTCGGCCACCGAAAATTATCGGCCGAAAATGGTTAAAAAGGCCCTTTCGGCTTTCGGCCGAAAGGGTTTTTGCACCGAAAAAATATCACCGAATGTCAGAACAGGCTACGTTGGTAACCTAACGTGTTGTTGTGATGACGTAATAAAGACGCGGCGACCATGCTCGCGGCTAGCTCACAGGGGGGGAACATTGACCTTTGTCATCGAGATTGCCCTGAGCCTTTAACAAATCGTATTAAATAATGTGATGACAGACTGTAAACAGAATAGCTGACATTTTAACAAACTAAATAACTCAGTTACCTCTAATCATTAACCCATGTTTGTATAATGTAGTTAACTCCGTGTGTTGCTGCTAGCATACATAACACCTGACGTGGAAACGTTACTCGTGGATGGGGCTACAGAGCTGCTAGAAAGACGGTCGAACCCGGTACATTCCTCCGTCTGCATGCGGTGCACTTTTGCTAAATGTTTAGACAAATTGCTCGTGCTTACATGCTAAACTCTTATTGCACTTATGGTAACAAGTATTCTCCACATCGAGACGGGTACAGTTTAACCACACCTCGGAGCGCGTTCTCTCCGCCATCTCCGCAGTGTGCTCCGCTGCATGTAGCAGCTGCGTGTGTGTAAACTGCCCCGCCCCCTCGCACACAGACGGGGGAGAGAGATCTCGTCTGATCGAAAATACATCATAGACGCATTTGTTGTCTTTGCATATTAGAAACGAGTTGGCGACACTAAGACTGCGATATAATGTTTTTTAGCAATAATACATGACATATATAAATGTACTGTATGCATTCAAAAGTGCTGAATAAATGTTTTATGGACCCATAATAGTGATTATTATTTAAGTGAAGTTTTGCCATAATCATGTCTATTTCCATAATCAGGTAGCTGAACAACATTGGTAAAAAATGTATACATTATATATATATATATTTCTATTAATCATTTTCGGCCTTTCGGCATTCGGTTTTCGGCCAACTGTTTCCTATTTTCGGTATCGGTTTCGGCCAAGAATTTCCCATTCGGTGCACCCCTAATTGTTTCTGATAGCAACTTTCTGTGAGTCCGCTGCTGATTTGACGTCATATCGGCAGCAAATCTGTATCCGCTCGTTGTACCCCTGTTTTTAAAAGATTTGGGTACGGAGGAAAAGAGAGAGGGTTTTATTTTCTGACGCTGCGTGAGTTCCCCGACGCACCGGGGACACATATTTATATACACATATATAAAAGACATCACAAAGTGCATTTTGCATGATAGGTCCCCTTTAAATAATGTTAGCTTCCTGTACTCTACTGCTCACATGACATTATTAAAGAACAGTTGAATGATCAGATAAAAAATCTGAATCCTCTTCATGTCAGTTTACAGTAGAAACTCTTACTTCCTGTCTGAGGGTCCAGGTTCATCACTGAAGTCTCGAGGTTCCTCTTTAGACCCGTCACTCTTCAGAGATGTGTCCTCTTTCTCATCTTTTAAATCACTCATCTTCTCCCGTCTGAGAGATAAACCAGTAACATTGGACACACACACACACACACACACCCGCACACACACACACAAATACAAACACACACACACAATATAATAAGTCACCTGTTTCAATCATACAATTATAAACTTGGTAAAAACACATTAAAGAGCCTGTGACAGCATCCCAACAACTGTTGTGCAATGAAATATTGGGCTACTAGTAATCTCGAACCGTCAGTTTAAAAAAGAAAAAGTGATACCGTTCCGTTAAATATCAATAATTTCGAACATCGTGGGGAAATTCCTTCGACTCATTTTGAAGTTTTGGGGGAAGCCGGAAGTGACGTCAATGCGGGAACGCTTCACTGTGCGGCGAGAGAGCCAAACACGGACAAAGTGTGTTGTCATGCGTAGAAATGGTGAATTACTGAGTTTAGGCACGTTAATAACGTTTTAATGAAGTTGACTACAGTATATTCATATTTGTCAGTGCTTTCATGTCAATTCGGCGAACATAGACATCAATTATCGTGGTGAAGATGATGATTACATTAGGATTACAAATCGATAGTGAGAGCTACTGAATTTCCTCCCGTAGGATGTGATATAAAAACAAATCGATTATTTTTGTAGTTGTAAACTCAAGTGGATGAAACTACATTTATTAGTGCTTTCATGTCAATTCGGCGAACATATGATACATTAAATGATCGTGAGAATGATGATTAAAAATTGTTTGTTTGAGCCGGTCTGCATTTCCTGATGAGAAAACCAACCGATGCTTTTTGTAGTTGTAGTACACCAACATGGATTAAACGTGTGTTTTTTCACCACAATGTTGGGGAAATTAATGGATAAAATGCACGGATTATTATTATTATTATTCCCACTCCGATCGGGACACTAGGTCCACCGTTTCCCCGCAGCGAGGCTCCCCCCGTTGACAGTTTACCTGGGCTGGGTGCAGTGGCGGACTGGCCATCGGGACGAATCCCGATGGGCCGGTACCGAAGTGGGCTGGTCGGATAAGTCACTAGCACATCCCCCATAGGCGGCGCGTGAGGCTCAGGTTTGGGAAGGCTAAATAACTTTTTTTACCTGACGCTGCCCGCCTCCGGCGTCTATAGAAAAGAGATCAACTCAGTGTGCGGAGTTTAAATCTCTCAAGTCATATTACAGGATAAAGGAAATACAGTTTAAACTGCCGTATGCGGAGAAGACGCCGACGTGTCACACTTATCATTCATATCATATCATCAATCAGATCATTGATCATATAATATCATAATATATCATATATTTCCTTATCTGAGTCAGCTGAGCCGTATCAGGCCGTGCAACACTCACAGTGTCACATACTGTATGCAGAAGTATTATTTTTAGCAACACATTATGTTGACGAAACACTCGAGTCAAATGTAATTAAAGTCAGATCCACTCGTGTCTTAGACGTGAACGCGCTCTCAGCTGGTGAGAGAAACCCTGGCTTGATTTACCGAGTTGATAACCAGCGTCGTAGGACCGCTTAGCGAGATCTCGTTTGTTAGTTTGTTGTTGTTAGTTTGTTTGTTACTCAAACATATCCAGGGTATGTTGAACTGGCTTCGTAGTACACAGGGCACAGGTGGCAGCAGCGCTAATGTCAAAGACACAGACATTATATTTGTATTTTACCAGGATGCAGCGACACAAATATTTACATATTTACATTTACTATCTACAGCACCCGCCGCCCCTGACATCCCCCACTCCCCCCGTTGACAACTTACTAGCGGTACCGAAGTGGGCCGGTCGAGAGTCCCGGGATGATTTGTAGTCCCATTCCACCACTGGCTACATGACCGTATGATCGCCCATATTGACGCACCTAATTCCTAAACTTCTAACAGATACAACATAAAGCGATCCTTCAGCTTCATACGAGCTCTCAGACACGTTCAAAATTAAACTGTCATCGCTGTCTGAGCTTGCTGCTGTGTGCGCCATCGTGCGTTTACATGCAGATGCTGGGATCCTGAACGGTGCAGCTGGAGCGCTGTGCCCGCAATGACGTCACACATAGTTTGGCGGGACTTGAAGAATCCCCGAGCAGATCCAGGAAATGGTCAACATTGAAGGGCAGATTAATGGTTATCAAAGTACAAATATCCAAAATCAGTTCAGTAACGGTTTTCAAGGGGACAATATTTACTCAAATTGATAGGTTTGGATGACTCGTGTCACAGGCTCTTTAAATGAGTCAGACTTCAGACGTAACTCTGAAGGCTCAAAAACCAGGAAATAAAAAAAGCTCACAACATTTGAAGAGGTCTCGTTGGACTCTAGGAAATATATATATATATTTATGAACACATTATGTCTCACATCCAGTATAACAGAGTAAATAATGAGTTAAAAAGTAGATCATGGTGTTAACACTCACCCTGTTGTCCTACTGCTCTGTTGAAGTGTAAAATGGCATCTGGCAGTCTGACTCACTTTCTCACTTTCAACATGCCGCCCTGTCTGCAGCTCCTCCCTTTGTTTAACCCTTTATGTAACCTTCCAGAAACAGAAACTATAATAAGACTTCAGAGAACAATAAGTTAATGAGAAAAAGTGGATCATACTACTAATAGCCTATGATTTGGGGAAATGTAACCAGTACAAGCTTTACTTTTCCCAATTGTCAGAGGTCTATATCTTCACTATATAAAATCACCTCATGCATCCATGTCACTGAGCTCATCTCGGCTCTAGTGACATGTCACAAATGTTTGGCTTTTTTGAGTAGGGACAGTATTGATAATAAGAGTGTGTGCTTGTCAGTGTCCTCTCTGTTCCCTCTGCGGTCAGGTTGCTGCTGAGCTAAGTGTGAACAATCCAAATAAAGGCAGAACCCTGAGGTGTGAGCTGTCTCTGATAAACAGATCAGATCAAAGTTGAGCGTTGCAAGAGAAGGAACTGGCAGGGTTTGGTGAAGATTTGTGATCAATAAGAGAAGATGATATCTTCAAAACGAGCTGGTGATTTTTCAGAATAAACAGTGCAACATGTTTTCACAGGGTGAGGAGTGACCAGTGGGAATAAACAATATACTCAACAGCATGAGGAATATATCTGAAGTTACTTCATGCAAAAAACAAGCGCAAGATGTGTTTATCATAATTGATAAATGTTGATTATTTCTTACTTCTCGGTGTTTAGATTTGGTCTGTATTACTCTGAAGACATTTACAGATATTTTAGGGCAATTTTAGTTGTACTACACTTGAGAGGGACATATTATGGAGTCAGATTTGGGTCAATATTCTTGCGCGCAAAACAAGCTACTCACGAGCGGAAAATGTGCTTTTACACGCGCATGAAATGACCCTCGCGCACAGATTAAACCCCCGCGAGCAGAGACAGCCCTCTTGCTCGCTCGCGGGAGTGTCAGAAATATGGAAAGCCCGATGTGCCACTATTCACCCGTTTATTTCACCCGTTTTTTTGTAAGAACGCGCGTTTTTCGCGCGAAATTCACGTGTTTTAAACCCGTAAAAAACGGGCATTTTTTAATATGATAATGAGCCCCACCTTCTGTTTTGCATAGCCAGTCAATTTAAAGTGTGTGCAACCAATCAGTGAAGAGTTAAACCAGACTAAAGCAATCTGTTGATGAAAAGTTCCTGTAACCTACCCCATTGTGAGATTTATATAGATAGATAGATAGAAATAATAACAAATAATCGTAATAATTACATCTAAATTAAACATTTACAGTAAATAATATAAAGTATAAACATAGCATTTGAGTGTTGTATGTTTTTGTAATAATGGACCAAGAGTCTCTTTAAATAAAAGATGATGATGATGATATCTAGTCACAACTTCATTATTGTTATTCATACTTTCTGTTATGTAGTTTATTAATGTTCCCGTGCTTTCAGTTTCCATCCAGTAATATAATCACAATGCTATTTTGAGGGTGTGTTCAAAACAATCTATGTAATGCAACTTGCTGTGCGTACTGCTACACCTACTATTGGGGAATCTGATGTATGTTGTAATGTTTGTGCTGGAGCCGCTTCATCCAAAACAGTACTCCGGTTAGAGAGATGACACCTGACGGGAAATACAGTCTCAATTGGTACACACTGTGAATATGAGAGGGGGAAATGTGTAATAAATGCTTTTTAGACAATTAGAAATATAAAGTTAACTCAACTAAAGTTGTTCAGTATTTTTTTATTGTCAATACTATTACTGCATAACTAATATCTCACATCTGAAGGTTTAAAGAAAAGGCAACTTAAAATAAAGATTGGTCTTTCAATACATTTAGTTTATTTTGTCGTTTGAATTGCTTATCTAAAATCAAGTAGCTATAACTGGTACTTATCGTTTTAAGATACAGTCCGGTTATAATAACTAACTAGCTAATGTTAGTGCCTTGCCTTGCCTTGCCTAATGTATCTTAGCTTGAATCAAATGTATTTAACGTATAATTAAGTGACTGCAAAAGACAAATAACTAATGTCATGCAAGAATATTAATCTTCGCTTGATTCCAGTGTTGAATTTATATATATTACATATACTGATTTATATGTACAGTCCATGGTAAAAACCCATATATACAAATATCTAGGAGCCAAGTGCAGTACAGAGACAGGGAGGCAGATATCCAGGTCCAAACAAAAAGCAAGCTTTATTCTAACAGCAGGCGAGGTAGTAGGACAAAAGTCAAATTAACTAACACTGACAAGGGGACACAAGGAACAGGAGCCGAGGCACCTGCAGCCTTGGCTGCTGTGCTCTCAGTGTTTTGTCTCCCTGTTCCTGCCTGTTGGCGTCAGCTGATAGAGGTGTTATTGTGCTTTATCTTGTTATGCACAATGTTGATTATTCTCTCAGAACTAGCTAAATACATGGGTCTGGGGTAAAGATCTTCAGCACATTTCTTGTGAATTCTCCGGCCGACGCACCAAATAAACCATCAGTGTTGCCATCAAAGTTCCTCTCCCCGTGTCTCTCTGAGTCTCCAATGATCCAGAAGTTTCCATCACACTTTTCAAATACCTATTTTTAATTTGAATTAATCATTGTACTTTTCAAAGTGCAGTATCAAAACCTCAGACCCAGAGTTAGCTCCATATGTGTTCTGTTTATGGACATTTGATTAGCCCAAATTGATCTGTTATTAGCATGACATAGGCTACCTTTGCACAAGGCTTTCTCCGTCCTGTTGAGGATGTTGACATTCTTCAGAATGGTCTAAAATGCGGTCCAAGTTCTGGTTCATCCTTTGTTGCAGTTCTAAAAGTCTTCTCCACATTCTGCCTTCGATTCAGAATGTTCTGGTAGAGTGATCAGTAACTAAGCCGTGCGTCGGTACAGTTATAGCCAATTATGATATTATACTCAGTGGCGATTGGCCCATAGGGGCCGCCCTCCCATATATATATACTAGGGCTGTCAAGTTAACGCGTTAATAACGCGTTGATAACGCGTTAACGCAAAAAAAAAAATTAACGCCACTAATTATTTTAACGCGAATAACGCATGTGTATTTTTTTTCCTCGGCCGCCCCGTAGTTTCAGAGCGCATCGAGTTTAAAATACCATCTACAAGCTGATGCTGACAGCCCCGCTCCTGTCGCCCGCTTGTGGCAGACCACACTTCCACGCTCACCGGCAGGCACCGACTGGCCATCGTGAGGACCGGGAGGGTGTGTGTATGTGTGGCCCGAGCGAGCGAGAGAGAGACCTTACGTGTATTGTTGTTGTTAGCATCTGGTGCTAGCTAGCTGCGCTAACGGATATAAGGAGCTGTTTAAATGAAAACAGAGGAGCGACATTTCGCCACAACTGCGCCGAGCACTTGACTTTATGCAGGAAGCCAGACAGTGGGACATTGTACGAAAAGTCAGCACACTCAGCACGGATAGTGCGCAACATGATTGCAGCGTCCAGGCAGCTCCCGTTCGAGCCTTGAGTTGCACATAGCTCCAACGATCCATCACACACACACACACACACACACACACACACACACACACACACACACACACACACACACACACACACACACACACACACACACACACACACACACACACACACACACACACACACACACACACACACACACACACACACACACACACACACACACACACACACACAATTTGTATTGTATTATTGTATGAGAGAGGTTCCAGGTTGAATTGAGGCAGATATTTGTAATGTTCAGAGGTCGTTGTGTTTAATATTCATGAGAATATTTGTCATGGTTCAAATGATAAAACTCTTTCTTCATTGTGTGTTGTGTATTCAGTCAAGCGGGTTAAAATTACAAAGCACTTCACATTTTATTAATCGGCCTAATTTTACCTTACCAGTGCAGTAATAAAGTAATCTGTAGAAAAGCACCGTATTTAGGTTAGCCTTCAGAGTAAGGCTACATTAAATGTTATAATATTCATCGTGTCCTTTCTACTGTATATGCAGGGGTGCACATAACTGGTACGCAGGTACGAATGCCCGGCAACAATCTGAAATGCGTACCGTCACTTGTGTCACAAAGCGCATTTGCGTACCGACGTACTTGTGAAGCTTTTCCAGAAGACGGTTAGATCACCGGAAGACAGAGTCGGTCTCCGTATGCACAGACAGGGCTGCTGTTAACGTCGGTCCGTACAACGGAATTGTGCCAAAACTACGCCAACCGGCTGCGGAGGGAGACTCCCCCCCCCCCCCCCCCCCCTTCACTGGAGAACTGAGCTAAAACAGCTGATCACAACGTTCACGCTCTGTGGTCATGAAGTACTCCACTAGCACCCCGCTGCCAGCTGCTCCCCTTGGGATCCGAAAGTGGTGTATAGCCTGTACTTCAACATCAACGAAAGTGCTCGATATATGCTGTATTGAACCAATAAACTAACACAAACTAACTGTATCACTAAAACATGATAATGATGATGGTGATAAATAATGCATCTAACGTTCCGCTGTTCATTATAATAAAAAAACAGAGCATTAAACAAACCATCAGCTCTTACTTTGAAATCATGCGGAAATGTCGTCATCAGCAGGCCATCACATGGTTTCCGAAAATCACCGAGTGACACGAGTAGATTTTTGCGGAGACCGGCGGAAAATATGTCTCAAAATTCCGTGTGTGTAAAAAGACGATCCACAAGCAGAAATGTGAGATCCACGACCACGAGCAGAGATTTGAGATCCGCAAGCGCATTTTTGGTCGACAAATACAAAATTGATTCACAAATGCCTGATCGAAAGTTGTAAATGATATATTAGAGATATTCACAGATCTTTTTTTATTTGTAAAAATATTTAGCGTATTTGCAGATCCGTTTTACACTTCCACATTTATTTGTGAGTTTGCAAATCTTTTAAACACATTTGTGGATGGTGTTTTACATTTACAAATCACATATTTACACACAAATTATTTTTATGTTCACACAAATAATTATGAGACATATTTATGCCCATACATATACCACGTGATGACACGTTAGGCTCGTGTTGTGTTCAAGGACCCGTGGCTAGGAAAAACAGGCACTCGCTTGTTTAATTTTTTGCGGTCTAGATTTCTTTAATTTTTTGCGTGTGTTTATAAATTACCTCGAGGGCCGTACCAAATGGTCTCGCGGGCCGTATGCGGCCCGGGGGCCGGAGGTTCCCCATCCCTGCTCTAAATGTTAATGTGACTTTCTCAGATGTTGCATTTTGATAAATGGGTCAATTTGGATTAATCAATACATTGTTTGGTAATTATTTTCATACATATCCTTTAAAAAAAAGGACATGTATGAAAAAAGTGTATGCTCAGTTTTACAGTCAGGGCAAAGGAAGATTGGAAAATGCCTTCATAGAAAAGAACAGTGAATGATTAGTGATCACATTAATTAGAATAGAGACTCTCTGAACAGTTCCCTCTCTGTTCGCTCTGTGGTCAGGTTGCTGCTGAGTTAAGTTTGAAAATAACAATGAATGCAGAACACTGAGGCGTGAGCAGCTTCTGTCTGATATACAGATTAGAAAAAGAAGAAGACTGCTTTAAACTCAGAGCGTGGAAATATAACACTGAGGTCAGAGAGGAGAGAAGGAACTAGAAGGGTTTGGTGCAGAGGTATGATCCATAAGGGTTCAGTCAATATGTTATTACTTAGAATAAGAATATCTCTCTAAATCACTTAAACTTAATACAAACAGAGCTGGAGATTCTTGAAGTCGTCTTAAGAAAAAAAGCAAAATGTTTTCAGAGAGAGGATGGAACAGTTATGCAGACACTATATTGTAACGCTTGTAAAAGTGATAAGCAAACTGATATTGTAT